GAAATTAATTAAAAAATTACATCAAATTAATATTTTGGTCATATTTCACAATATGTGTTTTTATTGTTGTTGTTGTAACAACAACGAAAGAAAGAAGAAAAAAACAAAAACAAAGGAAATACAGTTTCGTTAACCGGCAAATGAGAGCAAATTTCTAAATTTAAAAATTTCCAGGGTATAAGTACATACACAGATATATACATTGTTATTGTATATACAACAACATATGTTTTCAAGAGGTACTCAATAAAAACGACGAAATAAGAAGAGACCATAAACAATATTTCTAATTTGGAAGCAATCGTAAATGGATTTGTTATTGTCTTGCATAGAAATGCTGGTTTTATCTTTTATGTCATTCGCCAGGGAGATAATAATTTCCCGAAACACTTATTTTTCCCCTCCCAAAATTACTCGATTTAACGTCGTGTAAGGGAAAGGGAATTGACAAGATTCTTATGCTACATTTACATCAAAGGTATTTTATGAAGTAAACATCTTTTGACATTTAAATTGACACTTTGGCATATATACCAAATAAATGATAATTTCCATGAAATACGTTCAATGAAGATTTATTTGACATATTTGACAAATCCAGGACAATGTAAGTGTACTATAATATGGGATATTTAAATAATTCCAAACAAATGATTTTTATGTAAATATAGTTTTAAACACTGTTCACACTACACTTTTGACCAACTAAATACCAAAATAGATGGAAAGAAAAAAGGAAAAATAGAATAATGATGTCCATTTTTCTTTACACATATATATTCGTCATATCCGAATGTCATGTCCTGATTTGTGTAAGATTTTGTGCATGGCACAATTAATAGGTAGTCCATTTAGCGCAGCTGATGTCTCGATTAACTGTCAAAGTACGTAATTTCTACTTGAGTTCGATGTGCAATGTTGCCAACCATGTGAAATATTATAAGGAAGAAATTTGACAGATGGTGGAGACAAAAACAAAGGTTTTTTTTTTGTTTTGATACATTTTATCTTTGTGTTTACATTGTCATCAAATTGCATTTTATGATCTTTGTAGGCTTTTAGTATTGCACTGTTCCCACAACTGTTTTTGACAGTTGGACAATAAAACACAAAAAAAAAGGGAAAAAAAAACTTAGACATGTTATCCTTCATATAATTATTTGTTTATCGGAATGACATCTATATTTTTTTGGTAATGTGTTTAAGAGGATTTACTTTTTGTAACTATGAAATCCATTCGATTTGAAATGTCAATCCAATAGCGTATTCATCAAATATAAATCACTGGATTTATACATGACGTATATGCACGCTATGTAAATATTTCGGGTCGAGTGGTCTTCATAATCTAAACAAGCTATTAATTTGAATGTATTGTATAAAATTTTGGAAAAAGGGGAAACTTTGCGACATTTGAAAAACTAAATACAAAAAAGGAATAAAAATCATTAATATAAGTGCAATAATGCTCATTGATTATATTTTTCGTGTTTCGGGATAAATTTATTTTCTGAACAGCTGATTCTTTTTATTTATACAGACTTCCCGGTAGTTTCAAAGCCTATTGTAAAATCTTCAATGAAACGAAAATCATAAATGTCTTTGGATTTGTCGTCGTAAGGTGTCCTAGTTTTTACGGAAACAGAAACCGAATAAAAAAATGTCAACCGAATAAATAAAAAGCATCCCCCTTTACGAGAATGTATTTGAGGTATATATGTAATGGAATTGACAATTTATATCTACTGGATATAACAAAACCGCAGCAATGTAAACGTACTACAAGTTTGCATAAAAATTACGCTAGTTTTCGTAAAAATAACTAATATGTCAGCATAAACATGTTTCACATTGTGTACCACCCTTAGGAATGTGAGCAAACAGGGTGATTCGGATATAATAATATTAATCTAATCAAACTAACGCAACGTGCACACTACACATTTGTGTAACAATAATACGTGATCAAGGCATATTATCCAAGGAGACCAGCTGGATATTACCCGCTTGTAAAGTTTGCTGTCAAAATCCATTATTTTGATGCGACTTCCATTACAAAAACGTAAACAAAATCCAAATTATTGTCATTAGACTAAAAAAAAAACAGTTGACTTTCATTAATAAATCTGGTATGTGATGTTAATTTTTGCACAAAACTTAGGCCAAGTTCACACAGGAACATAACATCAACTGACATTTGACATTTTTTTTTTGTATGAACATAAAGAGCATCCTCCAAAGCTGGGAAATCAAATTGAATTGTGTATATTGAATTTTTCTTTTTAAAATAACTACGGAAACATAAAAAAACATTTATGCATATCAACGACATTTATGCTAATCGTTTAACTTAAAGTCGTTGTGGTAATTAGTTTTAAGTACAAAAATTTCATTTCCAGTTTTTTTTTAAAGTGACAATGAAATGTCAAAGTCCCCTTATGTTTGGAATTTTGTAAATGTATGTTATTAAAAAGAATGATTGACATTTCAATGTCCATAAAATGTACAAATTCGACCAATTTTGTGATCTATTTAATTTAATTTTAAATTAAAATGTATTTGCTGTCAAATAATTGTTTTATTTTGACATGTTATTATTATTTTTAATGGGGGTAGATTATGTTAAATTTATTGTCAAAACCACATTTATTGTACACATTGCTTAAAATGTTGGCATTAATTGAGGTTTATTTAGGAAAATAATACGACCCTTTCATAAAACACGTTTCATATTAACATAGCCTTATATAGGGTTCTATAGCTGCGCTGTAATTTCACATAGTACAAAAGGAAAATATTTTTAGACTTGTAAACAATTATAAAATTTGATGTAAAAATTATTAATATTTTGTACACATACATGTGTCTAATTATTAGACCATTTTGTGTACGTGTGTGGATTATCTAATTATTGTGCAAAAAACCTTCTGTCCACTTTTTTTTAATTTTTTGGCTTCCAATATTAGCAAATGTACATTTCATTTAGGATGACATTAATGATTGTCTACTTTTGAAATGCTCTGTTAATTATTGTTCATGATACATATATACCTTTGAAAAAAAATACACATATACATACATATATTTTTGTATGTGTGTCCGTACACATACAATGACATATTTTTTCAAAAAAAAAAAAAAAAAAAAAAACACATATTTATGTTCATATTCTTGCCAAAAATAACTTCTTGCCCGCAGCTAGCTAACTTGTTATGCAATGGCAAGCGTTGAAAAAAAACCGTAGGAGAAAATGAAAATATGAAAAACCATGAAAATTATTATATATTAAAAAAAATAGAAAATTTGTTTTTGTTTTTTTCGTCGTCTTGTGTGCTTTTTTTTCTCTCTCAACTTTGCTGAAATTTTAACAATAACAAAAATCTAACGAAAGCTTTTTCTGGCTCTCATTGGACCAATTTGTTGAAATATATATAAATACATATATATGTGTTCACATATATATATTATATTTATAAAAATATACCACTTGACAAACACATAAATATATGTTGACATTCCTTTGACAAGTCAATGCTTAAGGTGAGCTGGCGACAGAGCGAGTGTGTGGTTGAGATTTTCTTTCAAAAAAAAAAAAAAATGAACAAAGAAAATTATTACAAAAACATATAAAAAATTTTGTGGGAGAGAGTGTGTGTGTGACATATATATGGCTGAGAAAATGGTTTTCTTTTCCTATTTTCTTTTTTTCAAGGCACCCCTAGCCAAATATTTCTAATTAACTAATACCAATAAAATGATACACTTTGAAACACACACACACAAACACATTTGCAAGTATATACATACATACTCCGATTTTTTTTTGGGACCCCAACAGCAATTTAGTTAGTATGAAGAGCAAAACAGAAAAATAAGAAGAAGAACAAGAAAGAAAAATGCCATATAGCTGTTTATTAGAATTGAGTGGGGGGAGGCCAAAAGTTGTATATATGTATGGATGTGGCTAGGTTTGCTTAAAAGAGGAACCTTGAATAGTAGATGATGGTTTATTTTTAATTTTTTTGTATTTTTTTGCTTTCCTTCTATTTTTCATTTCTCTCTTAGATTTGTGGTAGGGGGGTGAATATTATCTTTTTTAAATATAATTTCACTATTAGTGATATATACTAACAAGTGCAGGTGCATACACGTGTGTGTGTATCTTTAGGGATTTCAAAAATAAAATGCCTAAGATTATACCTTTCAGAAAATTTTGAAATATATATCTATAAATACAACCCTGAAAACCCCCAATCATACAAATAAACACACGCTAAAATTATTTTGTCACATGACATTGAATATTTTTTAGAGCAAAATAGATTAGAAAAAGAGAATAAAACCCATTTATGCTCTTCTTTAAAAAAATATAACTCAATTAGTCCAATGACAATGCATACAATGTTTATATAACAAACAAAATATTTTATTATATTTTTTCGGTTTCAAAAGAAATTAAAAAAATATGATTATTGTATGATTGTGCCATGTAATATAACTCTTTTCACTGGGTATGTCTATTTTTTTACAGATTTTAATTTATTTTCGTAAAAAAAAACCTCTGCTACTCCTTCACATTTTAATGTTTCGTTTATTTCCTCTGGGTGTAAACCTAGTATTATCACATGGTAGAACAATGACAGTTACGGTCTTGTCAATAACAGTTATAACTCAAGCACTTAAAAATATAAGGATATCATGGGGAGTCCTTTATATTTTTGTTTAGCACACATTTTTTTGTTGTTGTTGTAATAATTTTGTCCTTTTTGGTAGTTATATTTTTATTTTTTTGGGAATATCGTTAACTCTTTTTTTAGTTAGTTTAAGTTCGTTCATTCTTCTTCTTCTTTTCTTTGGCAACTCATTGTAAATAATAACATGTGTTGTATGACAGTTATTTTTTATTGTTGTTTGCTTGTCATTTTTTCTTGATTTAACTTAAAAAGATAGTTGCAGTTTTTTTAACTTTAATTTTTTTTATAAAAAAAAACAAAACTTACAAAAATTTTCGTTATTTAAAAAATGCTGTTCGAACCCGAAAGAATTTTTTTATGTAATTATTATTTTTTAAATTTTTTGGCCCAGCCAAAAAATTAAGAACTAAAGGAAAAGATCGCGCTTTTGAAACGATCGACGGCGACTAAACACAGGGAGAAAGTGCTTGATGAGAGTGTCTATCCGAATTACAGAATTTGTTGCTTTTGGCAAAATTCCCAGACAGACGTAAACTCTCTACTGCCCGGGAAAATACTTTTAGCATATTAGAAAAAGAACAAAAAAAGAAAAAAAAACGAAACCAAGAAAAACACACAGAAGTAGAAAAAGAAGAAGAACAAGGCGGAGGAGAGGAAGAAAAGCAGCTAGCCAGCCAGCCAAGCAGGCAAGCAAGCGACCAAACGATCAATCGATCGACCAACAAACACACACATGTTTGTTTTTGTTGTTTTTTTACGTTTCTTGCTGCTGCCGATGAGGAGAATGGTATGGGATGGGAGGATGTTCACGATGATGATGGAAATGGTAAAACGTAAAGAAGGCAGAACGATGGTTGTCTTGTCAGCAGCAGCAGCCTAGTGCTAGCATTTTATTTTTCCCCAGTGTTGTTGTTGTTGCTGCTGGCTGGTCTTGGGTTTTCATACACGTTGTGTTTTGTTGTTACTCTTCACTTGTGTTTTTGTTCGTTCTATTCTTCATAAAAACTAAAAAATAATAATAACTGCACATACACACATATATACCTCCTCCTGGTGATGTGATTGTTGTTTTTGTTTTTCTTGCTGTGGGCCACCACTCAGTTTTTGTCGTCGCCGTTTTTTGCTGTTGTTGCTATTTTGTTAATAATTTTCTTCGTTTTTTGTTGTTATTATTGTTGTTGTTATATTAGTATTTCACAAAGGTTATGTTATGTTTATATGACACCAGGGACGTGGTGTTGTCTATTTTCCATATGGATATTAAAAATAATAATAATTATAAATCTGTATATATGTATGCATGCATGTGCTTGATTTTTTCCAAGGGAATTGCCACAAAACGGATGATGGATGTCTTTGCATTTAAAAAATATTAAACATTCATTTGCAAAGTGTATGTAGATTTATTTAAATATATATGTAGAGATATGTTGTTGTTTTTTCTGTCTACATTGTTATTTTAACATTGAAAAAAGGTTTTGAACAGAAAAAAAACAATTTTTTAAACTAAAAGTAGATATTAGCTGTTAAGAACATGTTCTTCCAAGAACAGCTGTCATCGTTACGTATATAACAATATACAGGATATGTCATTAACTTAACGAAAAGAAAAAAAACAATTAAAATTCTTTGGATATTTTGACGAGGAAATATTTTTTTGTTTGTCAGAAAAAAAATATGAACAAATTTTAAGATTCATAAGAAAATAAACGATGATTATTTAAAGCATTTGATGTAAACACTCTACTTATTTTGGCAAATGTTTAAGGAAAATTACAATTAAAATATGTGTTTTGTAACACCACATTCGATGAAAACATGGTATATCCTGAGCCTAAAGGCAGAATTAGTTAAAACATAACCATAAAACTACAAGGACAATCAATCAGCTGATCGAACCAAAACTATGAATATCAATGCATATAACAATATTCAGGATATGCCATTAACTTCACGAAAAACAATTAAAATTCTTTGGATATTTCGATCAGGAAATATTTTTTGTTTATCAAAATATAAAAATATGAACAAATTTTCATTGGTGTAAACACTCCATTTATTTTGGCAAATGTTTAAGGAAAATTACAATTTAAATATGTGTTTTTAATACCACATTCGATGTAAACATGGTATATCCTCTGCATAAAACACAAACACACTAAAAAGTATATTTTTTTCTTTTGGGCATATATTTTCATTTTCAAAATCTGGTCGCTTTACTTTAAAAGATGTGGATTTACGAAATTCTGAAAATAGATTAAAGGTACGTTTAAATTTACGAAATACACTCGATCTCAAATATTAATTTCATTGCTTATACGCCAAATATAATCCAATGGATTTAGTAATCTAAACGTTGCCTAAGGTTATTTACATTCGTTTTGGGGTTAGTTTAGATGACAGCTGATCATTGTTTACACACAGGCACAATTGTTTACAAAAAATTACTACAAAAATAAAATATTTCTGCTAAAATTGTATAATGAAAAAAATTAAAGTAATGGTATGTTTAGATTATACTGTAATTTAGTAAACCCAGTGGGCTTAAACTGTCAATTCCATTGCTTATAAGTCAAATAAATCCTAATAAAGGGAGTTAATCCTGACAAAAGTGTAAAGGCGTGTTTAGATTTACGAAATCAACTCTATCACAAACATCAATTTCATAGCGTACACGTCAAATATAATCCATTGGATTTGTGAACATGTCATGATGAATTGACATTTGAGATCGAGTAGATTTAGTAGTCCAAATGTGGTCTAATGTAAATGGCGTTTAAGAGCCCTTAAAATAAAGATTAATCAAATCAAAAATACGCCTTAATTGTACATTTACATTGTACGGGATTTGTGAAATAAATCATAAATCATCATAGAATTAGTTATGACATAACTATAAAGCTATATCAATCAGCTGATCTTACCAAACCTAAAGCGATGTACACACTAGTACTTTTGAATGACACTCTAGCCCAAATTTTGCTTGCTTGATAGTGTGACATTTCATGTCTGTGATTCATCAGACAACCACAAAAATATTCTTTGTCAGTAATCGATAAAAAAGCTGGCGCTCAAAAGTGTTAGTGTGTACAACGCTTAAGGAAATCAAGAACAGTCGATATTTATGTATTCAATTGTGTTTGTGTGTGTCTATATATGACTCTGACTGATATCATCTCAAGGTCTGTGTGAACGGTTAAACGACATGTACATTAGAACTTTTTGAAGGGTTAAAACGGCATTTACAAATAAGGTCGTCCAAAATGACCAGCTGGATATCAGCTGTCTCCTAAGTCTGTTGTCAAAATCCATTATTGTGAATTGACTTCCATTATGAAAATGTAAACAAAAGCCAAATTATCGACATTAGACTTGAGGAAAAACAGCTGTCTTTCGCTAGCTGGGTGACCTTATTAAAATAACTTGATAAATATTAAGTCGTGTTTATATTAAGCCTTCTAAATCATCTCAATTTGTAAATCGGGGTACCAAATAATAGTAGTTTAGAATAGTATAAAAATTATATCAGCTGTTACTTATTTACGTACACATGTAAATTTCATTGATATAATCGTTTCTGTTGCAATTTTTCATATTTTTGTTAAGTATTTTGTGTGTTTTTGAATTTATTCTTTTAATAAGGTCATCCAGGGAGACAGGCTGGATATCAGCAATTTCTCAAGATTGCTGTCAAAAATCCATTATTGTAAATTGACTTCCAGTATGAAAACGTAAAGAAAGTCCAAATATTTGACATTATACTTTAAAAAATTCAACTGACTTTCGTTTAACTAAATCCTAAATTCAAGATATTCGGGTTTTCTAGATACGTTATAGTACTGTGGTTCACAATCATGATGCAATAATATGGTGATGTATCAAAACGAAAACCTTTGTTTTTGTCTCGACCATCTGTCAAATTTTTCCATATAATATTTCACATGGTTGGCAACACTGTAAATCGAATTCAAGTAGAAATTGCCCACTTTGACAGTTAATCAAGGCATCAGCTGCGCTAAATGGACTACCTATTTAATGTGTCATGTTCACAATGAAGTGTAAACTTGAGAAACAGCTGATGCAACTGGGTGACCTTGTTAGAAGTCATTGGATAATATGAAATAAAAGTAACCTTACGTTTACAGGATATACGACATCATATATTAATTGTATTAGGTATAGGAATGGCTTTTGAGAAATTAGTTACAAAAGTAGTAGATTCTAAATATGTTCACTCTCTGGCAAACACTATAACTTTTTTTGTGGAATTGACAATGTAAATCCACTGGATTTACTAAATCCCCTACAATGTAAATGTATTATATAATCACTTTAAATATTACTCAACCAAATAGAAAAGTCTTCAAACCAAATGTGCACACATCTCCGCGCCGCAGACTACGCTTCTGTTTCCCAGATATAATAAGTAAAAATATATTACAGAACCTCATACTTTTTTTTAGATATAAATAAAAATAACGCATGCAATGTCAAAAATTCTAATAGCCGAAGGATAGAACGTATTATACAAAGAGTTCTTCATCTTCTTATCGTGTGGTATGTATTTACGTGTGTATGTTTGTATATATAGATTGTACATCATCACCAATTTTCTATACGCAACACATTTACCCATGGTGATACTTACATATATTTCTGTGACTATGTGCGCACTTCTATATATATAAAAACTTATATATAATATTCAGTTATGGCATAAATCTTAATGATTAAATAATTAAGTAAAAACAACAACAACACCAAAAAGAATTCAACAAAGTCAAAATGAAAAATTTTAAATATTCCCAAAAACATATTCGAACATCTACTATACTCTTCATACGTAAATCTTGTCATCTAAATATACATAACAAAGCAAAAAAAAAAAAAACATCTGTCATATATTTTAAATAAATATTTTATTTAAAACAATGAAAAATAAAAGGTCAAGAACATTGGACTGTACCAATGAAGCTTTGTACATTGCCTCCTCTGTCCGCCCCCACCGAAAACGGCACAGACACACAGCTGCCAAAAATTCCAATTTTTATGCAATTTGCTAATATCATAATAAATATTATAATAAAATAATAAATGATAATGCATACAGAATTAAAACACTGATGTTAGCAGCTGTTTTATTAGCTATAAAATGATAAATAAATATTTATATTTGTTTCGTTTTATCGCATATCACTTACTATACATTAGGAAATGAAATCTTCTCCCAATTGTTCTTTTTGTAAATATGTCGAAATTGTATCCAGATTTATAGTACATTTACATTGTTCAGGATTATAAAAAATCCACTGGGCTTAAATTGTAAATGGCATTGTGTAAAAGTCAAATAAATATTCATGTAGGAGGTTAACCTGGTAAAAAGTTATAATGCACATGTCATATTTTAAATCTAAATCGTTTACAAAATCCACTTGATCTCAAATGTCGAATTGACGTTTGAAATCGAGTAGATTTAGTAGTCTAAACGCGCTCTTAATTGTCATTTCCTTTGAATATACATATCACAAAAAATATATTATGTTTATAAAATATGTTTAATGTAAACATAGCCCTAACATAGCCAGTCTAAAGAGCTGTACACACTATCAGTTTTAAATGACAGTAGAAGCATAAAACAGCTGTTTTTATTCTTGAATGAAAAAAATGACGTTGTTTACACTTTTAAATGACAGTTTGACTCAGGTTCAGCTTCATCAGGGGGACCAGCTGGATATCAGCTTCCTCTCAAGCTTGCTGTCAAAATCCATTCTTGTGAATTGACTTACATTATAAAAAAGTAAACAAAGTCCAAATTTTTGTCATTAGACTTGAGAAAAAACTGCTGACTTTCACTAGCTGGTCTCAAATGTCATTTCCATAGCATAAAAGTCAATTATAATCAACGGGAATTGTGAATAGGATTAACGTGATGTATATACAAGTGACGTTTAAAATTTAGTAGATTTAGTAGTCTAAACGAGCTCTTAATTGCCATTTCTTTTCAATATACATATCTCAAAAAATAATGTTCATAAAACATGTTTAATGTAAACATAGCACTAAAATAGCCAGTCTAAAGAGGTGTACACACTACCAGTTTTAAATGACAGCTTCATCAGGGAGACAAGCAGGATATCAGCTTCCTCTCAAATTTGCTCTCAAAATCCATTATTGTGAATTAACTTCCCTTATAAAAAACGTAAACAAAGCCCAAATTGTTATCATTAGATTTGAGAAAAACAGCTGACTTTCGCTAGCTGGATGACCATATTAATATATCTTGGTATTTGAAAAGTCAAACCCATGGCACAATAAATACTTGAATTCGATGTGCAGTGTTGCCAACCATGTGAAATATTATATGGAAAGAATTAACATATGGTCGAGACAAAAACAAAGGTTTTTGTTCTGTTACACCACCTTATTATTGCATCATGGTCAAACCATTCAAGTAGAATTCAAGTAGAAATTACGCACTTTGACAGTTAATCGATACATCAGCTGCGCTAAATGGACTACCTGTTTATTGTGCCATGGCCAAATCTGATAGCGTAGAAGCAAAAAACAGCTGTTTTTTCTGTAATGGAAAAAAATTGACGTTATTGTGCACAAGGGAGTAATTTTATATTAATACGTTCGAGAGCAAACTTGAAAAGCAGATGATTCTTGGTACCCAATATTTACTTCTAAAATAACAGCTAATTTTGTAAATTACAGCTTTTACGAGGGCAGTTCGGAAAAATCATAGCCTAGCACAAGAGAGTTTGTTGAAATAGTTGCCATACTCTCTCATATAGACCAGGTGTTCAAAAAAGACGCATCCGCAATATTTTACAATGAAAGGATGCGTTTTTAATTTTGCGGAAGCGTCTTTTTTGAACACAGTTTCCATATGCCAAATTATTAAGCTCTGAAAAATTAAATGAAGATATCTATTCAATGTAGGCTATTAACAATATGATTTGTCAAATGTCTTCTTTATTGCTGAAAATAAAGTAAATATTTATTATTATATAATTTAAATTGTCGCATTATGATTTTTATATAAAAATAACGACTCAAATTTATATTTCTTACTCAAAATAACATAGACACACCTATTATTCATATACAAAGCCACTACACTAGTTTGCCTTCGACACGTGAGTACGTTTCCAATAACCAGTGATTTAAAGAGAGTTGTTGGGCATATCAACTCTGCCACACAAAACAAATATGTATTGATTCCAAGAAATAAGTGTTTCTTATAATATAAAACAATATTTGCATGTAATTTAATAATCAGTTAATATAAAAGACATATTTGGGAGGTTTTTATGCCCACAGTATTCATTACGTGCTACGTAAATCCATTTATACTTGTAATTATTCGATTAGTCAAAAGTCGATCTATAGATCCCTAATTTTCATTAGCATTTTTTCTTGAATTTGTGGCTTTTTTTCAAAAGGTAAGACATATTTTTGTGGTTTATTGTGTGCTAGCTGTGTTTAAAAATAATATTTTTTCATAGTATTTAACAAAATGTCGGATTCGGAAAGTAATATGTCCGACAGCGGATCTGAAGATGGATCTGTCGGCTCCAATAAATCACAGAAAAGTGTACGCTCTAGATCCCGTTCACCCATACGTTCCAGATCGGGTTCACGTTCCGTGTCCCGATCACGCTCAAGATCTCATTCCAGATCGCGTTCCCGTTCAAGATCTCGTTCACGGTCGCGGTCTCGTTCCAGATCACGGTCCGTTGCCTCAGAGTCGGGTTCCGAAGGTTCGGTAAGAGGTCATAAGAGGGCACGCGACGAAGAGGAGGAAGAAGAAGAAGGTGATGATGTTGACTCGGAAGAATATGAGGAAGACGAGGAGGATAGACATCGGAAGAAAAAGAAGAAGGATCGTTTTGGTGGATTTATTATTGACGAGGCCGAGGTCGATGATGAGGTAATTTGTTGTAGTCTACCGAAATGGGATTTTGGGTATTAATTTGATGGGTATTGTAGGTTGATGAAGACGAAGAATGGGAAGAAGGAGCCAACGAATTGGGTATTGTGGGTAATGAAATTGACGAATTGGGTCCAACGGCCCGTGATATTGAAATTAGACGACGTGGCACCAATCTTTGGGAGTAAGTAGCACTTTATTTGTAATAGTTTTTTTAACTAACAGAACACCTTGTCACCCTAGTACCCAACGAGAAGATGAAATCGAGGAATATTTACGCAAGAAATATGCTGATGAATCGATTGCCAAGAGACACTTTGGTGATGGTGGTGAAGAAATGTCTGATGAAATTACCCAGCAAACTCTATTGCCCGGTATTAAGTAAGTATACAGGAAAATGCCGGCAATTGCAATATATTTATGTGTATTTTAAACCTTCAGGGATCCCAATTTATGGATGGTAAAATGCCGCATTGGAGAAGAAAAAGCCACCGCTCTTTTGTTGATGAGAAAATTCTTAACCTATTTAAATACCGATGAACCATTACAAATTAAATCTGTGGTCACACCCGAAGGTGTTAAGGGTTATGTTTACATTGAATCGTATAAACAAACTCATGTTAAGGCAGCCATTAATAATGTGGGTAATCTGCGTATGGGCCAATGGAAACAAGAAATGGTACCCATTAAAGAAATGACAGATGTCCTGAAAGTGGTTAAAGAACAAGCTGGCCTAAAGGTAAAACAATGGGTTAGACTCAAGAGAGGTCTATACAAAGATGATATTGCTCAAGTGGACTATGTGGATTTGGCCCAAAATCAGGCGCATTTGAAGTTATTGCCACGTATTGATTATACCAGGATGAGAGGAGCTTTGAGGACCACAGCAAGTGTAAGTAAAATGGGGGACTTTTGAAGAGCCGAATACTAAGTATTTGTTTTTTATTTACTTTAGGATGCTGATAAGAATAAAAAGAAACGTAGGCCTCCAGCCAAACCTTTTGATCCTGAAGCTGTGAGGTAAAGTGATACAAATTTGAACTCTTTGATAAAATTGGATAAATATTTATTTTTAAATTAAATTCCCTTTTACAGAGCTATTGGTGGTGAAGTCCATTCCGATGGTGACTTTTTGTTGTTTGAAGGCAATCGTTATTCCCGCAAGGGTTTCTTATATAAAAATTTCACCATGTCGGCCATACAGGCTGAGGGTGTTAAACCCACTTTGGCGGAATTGGAAAGATTTGAAGAGACACCAGAAGGTAGTCATAAAAAATATGGTTAAAGGCAATATGGTAATCGTATTTTTCTTTTTTTCAGATGTAAATTTGGAAATTGCATTGGGAGCCAAGGATGACCCCACCATGGGACATTCCTTTTCCATGGGTGACAATGTTGAAGTATGCGTAGGTGATTTGGAAAATTTACAGGCTAAAATTATAGCCATAGATGGTGGTATGATAACGGTTATGCCCAAACATCAAGATTTGAAGGTAGGAGGCAAATGTTTGCTTTTATCCAAGGACTTTATTGATAATCAGTTTCTGTTGATGCTTCTCCCCTCTAGGATCCCTTAGTATTCAAGGCAAATGAATTGCGTAAATATTTCAAAACTGGTGACCATGCTCGTGTATTGGCCGGTCGTTACGAGGGTGAAACTGGTTTGATTATTCGTGTCGAACCATCACGTGTTGTTTTGGTATCGGATTTGACAAATCACGAACTGGAAGTTTTACCCAAAGATTTGCAACTTTGCTCAGATGTGGCAACGGGTGTTGATTGTTTGGGTCAATTTCAATGGGGTGATTTGGTACAATTGGAGTAAGTCAATTTGATTTTTTGTTTCCAATAAATATGATTTATAAATCTGTATATTATTATAGTGCCCAAAATGTGGGTGTCATTGTACGCCTGGAACGTGAGAATTTCCATGTCTTGGGTATGCATGGCAAGGTGATTGAATGCAAACCCACCGCTTTACACAAAAGACGTGAGAATCGTAATACAATTGCTTTGGATGCTGATCAAAATCAAATTCGGCGTCGTGATATTGTCAAGGTCATGGAAGGACCACATGCAGTAAGTGGAGATTTGAGATTGACCACATGAAGAAGAAATAATGTGGATTGTTTTGTTTTAGGGCCGCTCGGGTGAAATTAAACATCTGTATCGCAGCTTGGCTTTCCTCCATTGCCGTATGTACACGGAAAACGGTGGCATCTTTGTGTGTAAGACACGCCATCTTCAATTGGCCGGTGGCAGTAAATCGCAAACAAATAATTTTGGGCCATTGGGTGGTTTGGGTTTTATGTCGCCACGTATACAATCACCCATGCATCCATCAGGTGGCCGTGGAGCCAGGGGTGGAGCCAGAGGTCGTGGTGGTTTCCAGGTTAGACGTGATCGTGAAATTTTGGGCAAAACAATTAAAATCAGTGGTGGTCCTTATAAAGGTAGGTTCGAAACATATTTTCTGTTATGGTTTCCAGTAATTTTCCCCTTTTTGTTTCCAGGTGTTGTTGGTATTGTCAAAGATGCCACCGAGAGTACAGCTCGTGTGGAATTACACACCTCGTGTCAGACCATCTCAGTCGATAGAAATCACATTGCCATTGTTGGTCCAGCTGGTAAGGATGGCAGTCTCTCTTCGTATGGCCGCACACCGGCACGTACTCCCGGCTATGGTTCGCATACTCCCATCTATGCGGCTGCCGGTTCCAAGACGCCATTGCTTGGCAGTCAAACACCCAATTGGGATTCTGAGGGTCGTACACCGTATAGCAGTTCTATGACACCTCTGCACGATGGTAGCATGACACCACGCCACGGTGCCTGGGATCCAACTGTTACCAATACCCCAGCTCGCAGCAATGATTTCGATTATTCCTTGGAAGAACCAAGTCCCAGTCCTGGCTATAATCCCAGCACACCCGGCTATCAAATTAATACCCAATTTCCACCCCAAACACCTGGTACCCTATATGGTTCAGATCGCAGCTATAGTCCATTTAATCCAAGCCCAAGTCCAGCACCATCTCCTTATCCGGTGGGCTATATGAATACCCCATCACCGTCAAGTTATTCACCCAATACTCCAGGTGGGGGAGCACCCAATTCGCCATACAATCCTCAGACACCTGGCGCCAGTTTGGAATCACCCATCGGTGATTGGTGTACCACAGATATTGTGGTTAAAATTCATACCCATGATGATGCTGATCTGGTGGGTCAAACCGGTATTATACGTACCGTATCGAACGGGGTATGTTCAGTGTTTTTGCAGGAGGAGGATCGCAGTGTATCGGTGGTATCGGAGAATTTGGCACCTGTTTCCCCAGCCGAAGGTGATGAATTTAAGGTCATCTATGGTGATGAACGTGAATCTGTGGGCAAGATTCTTTCGGTGGACAAGGATTCATGTGTGTGCAAACTGAATGGGGAAGTGAAGATGATACCAACTTCACATTTGGCCAAAATGAAATCGATTGATTAAATATTTTAAATCTTCTTTATATATAAAGTATGCATACGTATATAAACAATATTATTATATGGGATTCTCTATCTTGAGCAGTTGAAAAAAAAAAATTAAAAAAAGAGGACAAGCTCTTCTCATTGAATGAGTAAAAATTTTGAAAATTAAATTGCAATTATATTGGGAATCTGTAAAATCTTACTTTCATATTCTAAGTAAATAAAAAAAAAGATTTTTTCTTTTAAAACACACAAATTTTGATTAGTATTATTATTTTTAAAATCTATGCTTCTGATACGCTCAGAAAAATAATCTACACTTCTGAAACCTTCACACGGAAACTATTTTAAAAATCGGATTCCATCAGAAAAAATATTTTAAAAATCTACTCTTCGGATTCCTTCAGAATAAAATTATTTTAAAAAATCCACGCCTTTGACAGTTCAGAAAAAAATTAAAAACTTTTTATTTAATAAAAAATTGGAATTTCACAAAAAGTGCTTATTTTAAATGCCCTTAAACCCTTACACAGCATTCCGCTGCTGCTGATAATAAATTTTTTTTCTTACAAAGCCAAACGTTGTTTAATGAGATTTTCCAAGGCCACAGCATCAACGGCAAATTTACGAATACCCTCCGACAATTTATCCGTTGCCATGGCATCTTCATTCAACATCCATCTGAACGTCGGTTCATCAATGTTGATCTTTTCCAATGGCACACCGGCTGCACTTTCAGCACTCAATTGTGGTACAATTTCTTCGGTGTCATTTTCCAATTCCTTGAGTAGAGAGGGTCCAATTGTTAGCAAATCACAACCAGCCAAAGCCTTAATTTCACCGGTATTTCTAAAGGAGGCACCCATTACTACGGTGGGATAACCAAACTTTTTATAATAATTATAGATTTTTGTAACCGAAACAACACCGGGATCTTCCTTGGGTTCGTATTTCTTTTTGTCGGTATGGGTGACATACCAATCTAAAATGCGGCCCACAAAGGGCGAAATCAAAGTGACCTTGGCTTCGGCACAAGCCACAGCTTGGGCAAACGAGAACAACAATGTTAGATTACATTTAACACCATGTTCGGATTCCAAGATTTTTGCCGCCTGAATGCCCTCCCAGGTGGAGGCCAATTTAATAAGGATGCGTTCCTTGGCTACACCCATATCGGCATACAAGCCAATCAGCTTTAAGGCCTTTTTGACACTCTTTTCTGTGTCAAAGGATAGGCGGGCATCAACTTCGGTTGATACACGACCGGGAACAATTTTCAGAATTTCACAACCGAACAAGACACACAAATAATCCATGGCTTCTTCGACTTTTTCCTCGGCAGTTCTACAGGGGGAAAAATAATTAAATAATTTTCTTTTCAGTGAGGATATTTTGCAACCTACCCTCCAACCTTGTTGCCATATTCCACGGCCTTTTCAACAAGGCCTTGGTAACGCTCCATTTTGGCGGCATTCAAAATGAGTGAAGGATTAGTGGTGGCATCGGTGGGCTTGTAAAGCTTCATGCCTAGAAAAGGTTATCAATATCAATAATTTTATTATGGTTGAGTAAATATGTGAGTGTGTGTGTAAAATCTACTTAATCAAAGCTCATATTCTAGAATAGATTTTTTTATGTTAATTTTACAACTCTTTCCTCCGCGCCTCCTCCTTAAGTAAATAGACATGACTCTCCAGAATAGTTGTTGTCTTTGTTCTAATCTAAGGCGCACACAATTCAAGGTGAAACAAACACGGCCTACTTGAAAGTTGTCCGACACTTAAGGTCATTAATGAATGCGTGCATTATCGTGATTTGCTAGCCAAGTGAATGGATAATAAAAAATCATACGTTTTTCAATATTCTTTTTTTTGGAATTTGCACATGTATTTCAAATGACCCCCTTCATCTAGAATATGATCCATGTGGTATTTACGAAACACACTTAATGGCTGGGTCATATATTTTTTTTTAAATTTCACTGTACTTACTTTCAAAATCACCGGTATCGGCGACAATTGTCGTGAATTTTTTCAATTGCTCCAGTGAACTCATTTTTGATCTTTTTGCCTTGACTGGATCCTCCATTCTGACTTGGCTCCCAACAGTAATGTCCAAAATGAACATGAATCGTACAAAACGTGTACGACTGTTCGGCGGCAGTAGTGGGTTTTACTACTAAAAGTAGCACGTGTTCCAGTGTTGTACATTTTGGGTATGGAAACTGTTAGAAGTTTTTGTAATTTAAAAGAAAATTATTTTTAGATGAAAAAATAAATAATTAAACTATTAATAATATTTATTTGCAAAATGAATTATAAAACAAGGAATTTAAAACGTTTAAAGCCATCTTTAAATTGCCATCAGCTGTTTAGTACATAAGGCTGCTTTAGACTTTGTTATTTTAAACACTGAGGTAATTTGCAAAGTTTTAGGTACAAATAATTAAAAATTTTAATGAATTTTTGAAATTCCCATCAGGTGTTTAGTAGTTAAGACAGCTTCAGATATTGTAATTTTAAATTAAGAGGCAATATGCAAAGTTTAAGGTACAAATTATTGCATGCCTCAAAATCCACGCCTTTGATAGCTTCAGATTACAAATATCAATTTCGGATTTTAAAAATCTACGCCTTTGATAGCTTCAGATTAAAAATATCAATTTCGGATTTTAAAAATCTACGCCTTTGATAGCTTCAGATTTTAAAAATATCAATTTCGGATTTTAAAAATCTACGCCTTTGATAGTTTCAGATTTTAAAAAAAACCACGTCTTTGATAGTTTCAGATTTTAAAAATCTACGCCTTTGATAGTTTCAGATTTTAAAAATCTACTCCTTTGATGGATTAAGATTTTAAAAATCTAAGCCTTTGATATTTTTAGATTTTTAAAATGTACTCCTTTGATGGATTAAAAGGATAGCTTAAGATTTTAAAAATGTATGCCTTTGATAGCTTCAGATTTTAAAAATGTAAGCCTTTGATAGCTTCAGATTTTAAAAATTTATGCCTTTGATAGCTTCAGATTTTAAAAATCTACGCCTTTGGTAGTTTGAGATTTTAAAAATCTACACCTTTGATAGTGTCAGATTTTAAAAATCTACGCCTTTGATGGTTTGAGATTTTAAAAAAACTACGCCTTTGATAGTTTGAGATTTTAAAAATCTATGCCTTTGATAGTTTGAGATTTTAAAAGGCGTGGATCTGGTAAATATATTTCAAAAGTTCAAAAAGAGGTTAGTATTTTTTAAAGGCTGAAAATTTTGAGAATTTTTTAAAGGCTGTGTTTTTATGACATGGATTTATTAAAACACTTTTTAAAGCCAACAAAAAATGTGAAATATTTTTAAAATGTGAGAATTTAAAAAAATATATATTTGTTAAGGCCGTCTAATTGCCAAATATTTATAATATATGAAATTAAATGAACACACCTATTAATATCAATACAGCTGATTACATTTTATGCTTGTATTTTTATAAAAAAAAAAATCTGCCGTAATAATTTTCAATTATTTTAGAATAAAAATGCAATTTTAAAGACAATTTTTTAAGACATAACAAGAAGTGAGGAGTTTTTAAAAATAGTTTTTCTAAGCCCAACAAGTCGTGAGGTTTTAAAAAAATACTTCTTCAATTATTTTTATATTTATTAATCAAATCAAAGTTAATCAAAAATGAAGGTTTCAAAAATATTTTTTTCAATGCCTAACAAAGTCAGACAACTTAAAAATTGGCAAATACTTAAACGAACACATCTATTAATATGACAACAGCTGATTGAACTAGACATTTTTCTATTGAGATTTTTCTTTAATTATTTTTTTTAATTTATTCTTCTAATGTCTTTCAATTATTAAAAAATGCTATTATAATGGTCAATTCTGTTTGAACTATTATAGTTTTGACTATTATAAAATTTAAAAACTAAATGTACTGGAACACATCTATTTCTGTGCTACTGACCCTAAACACCCGATTTCTTCCATGTATATATATTCAAAAAAAATAGTTAAGCCAGCGCTATTACTTTAAAAGATTAGCATTGATAAAGTGGTAACGAAAACTTATCAATTATAGGCATTGTTGTGTATTATTGTTATAATTCGCTAATGATGATGGCAATGATACATATTTATGATGTTGTCGTCATGTCAAAAATTTCACTTTGCCTAGTGGCTATCGAACAAAGTTCATTCGAAGAGATAAATGTTAATGTTTGAATCATAGCTATACTAACCCTTCCTCTCCACACTATATTTATGCTATCAAAGGAGTAACAAAAAATCCCAGATTTCGTTCTCCAAAAAAGCCTTATTTATTCTTATTGTTATTATTATTAAAATAATCAAAATTTTTTCGTAATCATATGAGTTTTATATTAATTAAAAAAAAAGAATAATGAAATAAACAAAACACCCAAAATAATATTCTTCTAACAATCTAAAAAATTTGCAGCCATTAACAATTCCAAAGCAATTTCGGGAGCAATCGGAAATTCTGGAATCTCTGTAGAGCTATTTGTGTAACGCACTTTGTAGGTAAAGTAAATGCATACTTTTTGCAAGATGTGTGAGCTGGAAATAGATGAAAGAGAAAAAAAACGGATAATCAATATTAATAAATGTTTACAAGCAAAACGGATCGAATCGAATGAATCATTTTTAAAGAGACAAGTTATAAAAAAACAATCAAGATTAGGGGTTGAACCGGTATTCTGATACCGCACAAGATTTCCAATTATAATCCACAACAACAAAAAATAAACGATATTGTAAATTACTAATTAAATATGGACCAACTGAACAAAACAAAGTACAAATCTCCAAAATAATTATGTCCACATCTTGTCATCTAGTACATATATATACAAATTAGCCTATGTATATATATATGTGTTTACATACTTCTTCTGAAATATATAATATATTTAATGTCCATTAGCAACTAATTAAGTTATTTATTTTTTTTTCTAAATGGAAAATTGCCATGGCATGGTAATCATTACAAATTTTATATTCTGGTTCGACTGGCGTAGGACTTACGGTATTTCTCGAAAATGCACTTCATTAGCTTCATTTTCAGCAAACTGACCAGGTCCAGAAAGCATAGCCTTGATGGTGCCAGAGGTTAAAGCGTGTTCCCGTTTGACAATAAATTCATGGCCATCTGAAGAGATTAATTTGACATACATGGCATCGGGACCCTCACATCCGCCATAGATTTTATCGCTGCGTGGTTCCTCCATAATAATTAAATAATTTTCTTTTTTTTTATATTAATTCTTTTTTATTCTATGTCTCTGTCGCAGGATGTAGGGATCCGTAGGTTGACTCTTGACTAATCGACTTTTTGCAAATTGGTAGTGTTGAGCAAGTATCGGGTATATGAAGTACTCAATATGTGATGTTGTTAGATGGATGGGTACTCGGATTTGGTTTTGTACATGGTACAATTATAAAAGGTAACAGCAAATCCCAGCTGATTTGATTCCAACGTAATACTAGTGTCGATATGAATTTGACAAATTATGTTTTTAAAAATCACCCAACAGGAAAATTGGGAACGCATACAATTTGAAATTGTTCTTTATTAATGTGCTCCCGTATTCAATTTACTCAATCTGCCTGCTGGGAAAGTTTGAGGAAGCAAATCTTTCTTGAAGGAATAACTCGCTATTCCCAGCATTTTCATACGTGTTACACATATATATGGCAATGGCTCAATTAAAGGAAAGATGTGGAAGCGATAGAAATACAAATTTGATAGATTTTCATTCATGTTTTTCAATTTTTATTTTGAGGATTCGAAAATATTTCATTTTCAAAATAAAAATAATTTGATGATAATTTGTTTGTTTGTTTACATTTTTCTGTCAAATGAGTTGACACTAGTAGAACTTACAACAACAAATTTCCATGTGGTTGTTGTATCGTTTTTTGTACAACAACACTTGCTGTTACCTTTTATTATTATACCATGGGTTTTGTACTGGAATCCAGTGGGTTTAAAGGGGAAAAACATTAGAGGACTTCAGGCTTGACATGTTATTATGGCTTCTTTTATTGTAAAAGAATAATGGAGAACGCCGACCACAATAAAGTTTGACTATGATATTTCTTTATAAAATGACATTTCTTGCAAAATCAACTTAACAGGCCAGGCCTGAATACTCGTATGTGTTTCCCCCCTTAAATTGTGAATTCCATTTCATATATGTCAAAAAAAGAAAAGACCTATTAACAGCTGATTGTTCTACAAATTTTTCTATTGATAATTTTGTTTTTTTCTAATTTACAAATAACAATTATTAAAAAAATGCAATGCTAAAGGCCAATTCTGTTTGGCTATTATGTGGATTTTAAATCATTAGCATATAGTTTTGATTATTATAAAATTAAAAAAATGTACTGGAACACATCTACTCTGTGCTACTGACCCTTAACTCCCAATTTCTTTCATATATATTAAAAAAATAGTGTGTACACATCCAACATAAAGTTTGCCTCTTATATTCCTGCAAAGTCAACTTAACAGGCTAGGCCTGAATTCTCGTATGTGTTTCCCCCTTAAATTGTGAATTCCATTTCATATATGTCAAAAAAAGAGAGTTAATATGCATTTAGATTACAGCTTTTATAATGAATTGTTTTCTTATTAAAAAATAGTATTATTCCTTACATCGATCCGTTAAATATTTTTTAAATTCACTCTTAAAAAATATTCTTCACACTTATATTAAACGGCATTTATGTTAGAACTTTCTATCGAGTTAACCCACTTTATGAGTATTTATTTGACATAATAAACAATGGAATTGACACTTCAACTCACTGGTTTAACGAAATCCGGTAAAATGTAAACGCTTAAATTTTGTAAAAAAAATACTTTTTTTTAAAACCACGTTTTTTAATTACTAGAATGAAATTATATATATTCACAAACATGCCTTGTGTAAGCACGTAATAACTAATTACGCCATTAGTCAAAAATCGACATAGAGAGCCCTGCAAATAAGGGCAAACTACATGTATTTTCTTCCATTCCCGGCTTATTCTAAACAAATTTCTTTGGATATTTTGGGTTCAATTTAAACTTTTGTTTCATATATCCTATAATATTCTTAAAAAAATGTCTTGTGTAAGCAAGGAATAACGAATTAAGCCATTAGTCAAAAATCGACTTAGAGAGCCCTGCACATAAGAGCAAAGTTCATTAAGTTTAATTTCTTCCATTCCCTGTTCATTCTAAACTGTTTTCTGTGGATATTTTTGCTTCAATTTGAAAATTTATTTGATATTTCGTAAAATATTTATAAAAAAGACTTGTGTAAGCACGGAACGCCATTAGTCAATAGTCGACTTAGAGAGCCCTGCACATAAAAGACAAAACTCATGAATTTTCATTTCTTCCATTCCCGGCTCATTCTAAACAATTTTTTTTTTCAATTTTGGGTATTTCTTTTTCCCGTGTGATTTATGAACTAACCGGCCGGTTTTGGATGCAAGATCAGTTGTGATTAAAGGCAGAACATTATATACACCAGTGGACAAGAGGCTTAAATATATTTCATTCACAGTGTTTACATAGCCTGTAACTAGATCTGGGTACTAGATTAGTGCTCCACACATTCAGGGTGGCTTTCCAAGGCATACTAGATCCACAACATGTCGGAAAAGATTCTCATAATTGACAATGGTAAAGTACGTAAGACATATTTGTTGATTTATTCTAAATAATTTTGTATATTCCTAGGTTCCTACAAATGTCGTGTGGGATTTTCAGATTCCACTACTCCCTTGTTTGAGTTTAGAAACCTGATTGCTAAGCCGCGTAAAGACAAAAAGAAAGAGGCACCAACTGTGGCGGAGAATACCTTTCAAATTGGCGATGAAATTGATATTGATGCCATGCGACTACTACTCAAAACACAATTCGAAAGAAATGTTGTAACACATCCGGTGTATCAGGAACATATATTTGATTATATTTTGAGTAGGATAACCCCTGAGGGTCATGATTGGCAACCACAATCCATACTAATTACTGAACCATTGGCTAATCCCACATATTGTCGGCAGAGTAAGTTAGACTAGGTATATGGAAAATGATTTTAATTAAAACGTGTTTTTCTTGTTGCAGCCATGAATGAATTGTTCTTCGAATGTTATGGCGTTCCCTCCATGTGTTATGGCATTGATTCTGCCTTGGCCTGGCAGCACAATCGCTTGCCCACTGAAGAAAATAGTTTAATTGTGAATTTTGGCTATCACACAACACATGTGGTGCCCATTCTCAATGGCCAGTTGCAACATGACAGGGTACGGCGCTTAAATTTGGGTGGCTATCAAATGATTTCCTATTTATATCGCCTACTACAAATGAAATATCCCGCCCATTTAAATGCCATATCATGGACACGAATGGAAGATATTTTCCATAATCATAGTTCAGTGGCTGTGGATTATTTGGCGGAATTAAGAAAATGGGATAATATGGATTATTATAATGCGAATGTGAAAAAGATACAATTGCCATATACGGCTCCGGCGGCACCCAATACTTTGGCTGCTGAGGAGAAATTGAAAAGGCGCAAGGAAATGGCCAAGCGGTTAATTGAGGCCAATCAAAAGAGGTTGAGAGAGAAAAAGGGGGAGGAGGTAAGTATACCTCATAAATATTGCTACGATTTATTATAACAAAATTTTTATATTTTTTAGTTTGGTTCTGATACCCCCACACCTGCACCCTCAAGTTCTTCAACATCTAGCCGCAATTCCAAATATCAACCCCCTCCCAATGTTTCCCTTGAAACATGGTTGGAGGAAATTAAGAAAAAACACAATGACATTGTGGAGAAGAAAAGTTCTAGGCAAAAACGACGCCAGGAGATGGTTAAACGTCACACCTTGGCATCACAAGAACGTATGCGTATTATATCACTGCTTGCATCCCATGACAAAGGTTCCGATGAATTTGGTAAAGATGACAAAGATTGGGATGTCTATAAGAAAATAAGTCACGAAAATGAAAGTGACAGTGATGCAGAAAATGAAAAACTTATGGAATACGAGGGCATCATGAAATATCATCAGGCTTCGATGGCAAAGGATGCGGAACCAATTGAAAATACAGCGGAATTATATCAGGTATGTAATAGGAAATTCGTTAGAACCTAATTTTTGAGGATATACTTCAAATCTAATTTAGTCCGTTTGTCCACCGTTTACTATCAAATTGCGATGAAATTTGACAAGGACCACTTAATTGACCCAGGGATAAACCCTGTTTAAATTGGTGAGGATCATGCAGATTCGATGTAACAATTTAAAACCTTTGTGCATGTCATGGTGTACAATGTTTGTCCGATTGACACGAAATTTGCCACGACGTACTGAATTTAGTCCAGAATGGCGTGTCCTAAGTTTTGTTCAAATCGGATCAAATTTAGATGTAGCTCCCACACATATCTTCATCCGACATCACGTAAATTATACACCAAAGGCCCAATGTTAGCCCGATTGACAAGAAATTTAGAAGGGACTACCGGTTGTAGACTAGAATAATGTGTGTGTTAAGTTTATGGATTTATGTTAAATTTGTTTATATTTCGATATAGCTTCCGTGCATACTATCGTCCGATTTCATGTAAACGATTTTTGATACTTTCCTTACTGCTGTTTATTTTAATTTTATGCTAAGTTTTTTATTATTTAACAAACATATTTATTAACAATATTAGCTTTCTAAAAACCTTCCTGCAACTTCCTAGCACTTGTGGCCATCAAATCATTTTCATTATAAGAAATATGCAGTGGCGGTATCAAGGCTGAGGCCACCATGCGATTTTCGGCATTCAGGAAATTAAATGTAGCACAGGCCTAAAAACAACAATACGAAATACAATTATTAATTCAGTTTCATAGAAATATATTCTCCAACTTACCTGTTCCGTTCTCAAAACCTCCACATTGATTTTGTATTTTCTCATAAAACTTAAAATCTCTTTGGAGATATTTGGTGAGGGTGTTTGATCACCAATGCCTAAAATCAAAACATCAATTTTGGGTTCCAGAGCGGTAAACAGCGATAGACTTTCTTCATTAATATCATCCACCGAGTTAACATTCCACGACAGCAGCGATCTATCACAAAAAAAAAAAACAATAAATTATCGATCCCAAATTTCAAAATCATCTCTTCTTACCTTGGAAACACTGCCACTGGGCCAATCACAACCATATCATTATTCATACGAAAACCAAATTGGCTATAACCCGTAATCATAATACCCAAATCCTGTTGAGTATTGAATATGTCGATTTTTGTTTTGCCATCATAATCATATGCTTTGCTGTGTAATTTCGTAGCCGATTGGAATAAATTTCTTCGGATTACTCCACTGGCAATGGTGGCACTTCGTTTCAAACCGTTTAAATACATAATTCTCCAACTATTTAACCACTTAGATCACAGATATTATCAAAACAACAATAACATAGTAGAGGGCCACATTTAGCAGTGACCATATGTTCAACAGGGTGATGCATATGCTTTTTTCCATTTCATAACAAAAGGGTGTCGTTTTGTATTGCAAATGAAGGTGGAGTTACACGATGTGTCACTGAGTTAAGAAAATGTTAAAATAAATGAATAATTGTTCTGTTAATAAAGGAAAAAAGTGTTATCGGAGGAAAAAATAGTTGATTCTTGCAGTACGGGAACTGACCAAATATCTGTGAAACCACAAAATATAACTTATGCTATGTTTATATATAATTTGAAGTGGATTTAAAGGATAGGTATAAATTAAAAAATTGAAAAAAGGGGAAAAATATAACTTATGCTTTGTTTATATACAATTTGAAGTACATTTACAGGATTGGTAGATTTTGTGGAAGAAAAAATTCGACCTTTTTTTACTTGTTGAGTTGTAGACACTTGAAAATATTCTCCGTATTTTATTTTAAATTGCCGACTGTAAAGTCTTTAGGAATTTGGCGCATATAATATTCATTTTCTACTAAAAGGTCTCTTCATAAATCATAATTCTACTTAGTTACATGTTGGCGTTGAATCCCTACGGGCACCGGAATTATTATTTCAACCCAGTATGATTGGCATGTATGAAACTGGTGTGGCGGAACTATTGAAATTTGTTTTTGACAACTTTTCGCCCGAGGATCAACAAACATTAGCTGATAATGTCTTCATAACAGGTGGCTGTTCACAATTACCAGGTATGTTCAAAGAAATTATACTTATTTTTTTTTTTACTTAAATTTAAAATCTCTTATAAATTTAGGTCTCAAAAATCGGTTGTTAAAAGAATTACAAGAAATGCGACCATTTCAATCATCGTTCTCTATAAAAGAGAGTAAAAATGCATCACTCGATGCTTGGCTGGGTGGCAAAGATTTAACAAACTCTCCGCAATGGTCTTCATTTTTAACAACACGGGAAGATTATATGGAAAAGGGTACGGAATATTTTAAAGATTATCATTTAAGTAATAAATATTTGATTACACCCAGAAATGTGGTGAATAATACCTAAAGAATCGATTGGAGTTTTATTAAATATATATATTTAGGACAAAAGTGGGATGGAAATGGCCAAAATGGATCTATGAAAAACGTATTTACACTATAAAAGAGAGACACATAAATTTTTTCCGCTTTTAAAGTTGATGTTTATTTAGGCCTTGTAAAATGTGAACAAATAAAAGAGAACGACGGCAAAACTGAAATATATCCCTTCATAATTTGGCACTTAATAATAAGCAACTCAAATAAGTTTGTCAAATATCCTTTCTTTTCTCCTTTAACTTTCACTATCATGCTTTTCTTCAAATAACATCACAACGTCTAGAGCCCCCTTGAACAAAACATATTTTTTTCTGAATCACCTTGTGTCTTTGCTGTATTTACTGTTTTGCACTAACACATGATTATGTCAGAATTTACGGGGGTAATAGGAGGATAGACGACCTTTTTTCCGAACTTCTCTTGAAAAGGATGTTGGCGAGTCAAAGATTACGGGTTTGTAGCCCATTATATATCAATCTATCAAAGAGATTGATTTCCAATGAAATCAGAGAAGTGTTTAATACACGACTTGAACCACCAGCCGGTATCAATGGTAATCAATTGCAATTGTCGGTGATTAGCAAAAACCTAAATGCTCTTAACCTCGATTTGTACGTAAACAATTTGGGCCAACATGAGGATAGAAGTTCAACGATTGTCGATTTGCTAACACACATACGATCAAGTCGCCTGGCCAATACCTGTTTGGAATCGACAAATTTCGGTGTCATACGCCAGTTATTAGATAACGTCAGTGTACAAGAATTGGTACCCATACTAATTGATCGTCCAAAATATGGTATATTCTTGGATAATTTTACCGGATTTGCTGTGACCTCGGCATTGCACAGTGAAAAGGAATATCTGCTGGCATTACCATTGGCTTTGAAGTTGGTGTTGTTGGATGAATTGGACAGTGTTTTCATTCAACAATTTTGTGTTAAATCTTCGCTGGCCGAATTGAAGAAACAGCTGTTGGAGGAGACCCAGGCGGCTGAGGAACCCAAGGCACCTGTAGGCAAGGTTCAGGAGGTAAGTATTTTTGGATTTTCGTTTTGTGGTATTTTATTTTAATGTTAAATTTTTCCTTTTCTTTAGCAAAAAGTCCGTGTCCACTTCATACGTAACCCCTTGGAATATGACATCAAAAACGATATTGCCAAATCTCTGTTGAAAATTTCATCCAAAGCCCTTAGCGGAGAGGCCCAAGAAAATGCCAAATTATTGGGTTTGGTTCTGAGCAAACGTTTTGGCGATTTGGAAAAATCCTTGGCCACACTAACAACCAACATTTGTCCCGATGTTTTCGAAATTAGCAAAGCTTTCTTAACACGCTGTGAACAAAATGACATTGCCGCAAAGTTGGAAAGTGCAGCCGCCCAAAAGAAATCGAATAAAAACTTTGAAGAATTAATCGATTCCGAACTCGAAGAATCCGTGGCGAAGGAAGCAAAAACATTGGCCGAACGTCAAAAGGAATTATTCCCCAAATGGCAACAATTGAGGGAGGAAAAGAAAAAGGCATTGGAGAAAGAAATTGCCGATATGGAGAGGAAGGAAAATATTGAGAAGTTGCAAAATGAAATTGAAACCAAAAAGCAGCTGCTGTGGTTCTTCGAAGAGGAAGACAAATTGGATTTGGAAATCTACAAGAAACGTGTATTCTATCCCAAGAGATGGTTTGGCAAAAAGAAGAAGCCACGTGTATTGGATGAACATTATGTACCACCACAGATTAGAAAAATACAATAAAGAGGGGGTTTCCTTGTTATTGGAAATGGTTTAGAACCAGAAATTGTATTTTATTTGTTAAGTTTTCATTTTTTTTCAAAAAAATAAAAAAAAAAATACATACAATAATGAAAAACGATAACAGAGTTCGCATGAATTCGATGAGTGAAATGCAATTAAATATTTTTAGTTTAGTTTACAGACTCGTTTTTTGTTGTTGGACTTAATCGTGATTAGGATTACACTTAATACATATAGAGAGTAGATGCTTTTAGTCGGCGGTGGCACCGGGATATCTTTCGAGCAGCATAGCAACACCTTGACCGCCAGCGGCACAGGCAGCCACAACACCCAATTTACCATCTTCACGTACCAAACGATGGGCGGTGTGCATGCACAAACGAACACCGGTGGCAGCAAATGGATGACCAATGGACAGGGAACCACCCCAGTTGTTGAATTTGCTCATATCGGGGGCACCATATTTTTCGCTAAGACCCAAATAGGTTTTACACCACCAATCGGAATCCATGGCCTTCATGTTGGCTACAATTTGACCGGCAAAAGCTTCATGCACTTCCCATGTGTCAATATCCTTCAAAGTGAGGCCGGCTTTTTTCAATAGCTTGGGAATACCATAGGCAGGGCCCAAAAGCAATTGGTCAACGGGATCTTGGGAGACAAATGTGAAGTCACGGAGATAGGCTTTGGGTTTCAGGCCCAATTGTTTGGCTTTCTCTTCGGTCATGATGAGACAAGCTGAGGCACCGTCGGTCTACGGGAGAAAATTATTAAAAATTGTTGTTAATTTCTAAAGTGCTGTGGTTTCTAATAAGATGTGTATTTGGGGTTAAAAACGTGTCAGATAACGTCAATTTAAAATCGCACCTCTTATTGGAAATCTCTGTTTGCCTATACGAAAAAACTACTTACAAGGAATGAGGCATTGGCAGCAGTAATTGTGCCATGTGGCTTAATAAAGGCAGGTTTGAGTTTACCCAGCTGTTCCAGGGTTGAGACACGAATACCATTATCCTTGGCAATTAGGCCATCTACACCGGAGACTATAAAATTAAATAAAAATTCAATTAATGTACTTTTTAACATTGTTTTTATAGACCTACCTTTGAAGGGCACCAAATCGGTAAAGTAACCCTTTTCTTCGGCCTGCTTGGCCATGGTATGTGATCTCAAGGCATATTCATCTTGTTCTTGACGTGATACATTGAAAGCGGCAGCCAAACGATCTGCCGAATGACCCATAGTTTCACCCGATGAAAATTCAGCAACAGCTGGCAATTCGGGTACCAAGAAATCTGGTCTAAAGGTAGATAAAATTGATAGACGTTGACCCAAGGTTTTCGCCTTACTGGCCCTCATCATTAGAGAACGCATTTTGCGGGAAAATCTAATGGGAACATCGGACATAAATTCAACACCACCAGCAACAATGGTGTCATAAGTGCCCGTGGCAATTAAACCCATGCCAGTGGTAATGGCCTGTAGGGGAAAATTTATTGTAACATTTTGAAAATATTTTTATTAAATGAAGGTAGGAATACTCACAGCATTTGAACTAATGCAAGCCATGGTCACAGTGTGGGCAGGTGTCTTATCACTAAAGCCAGCAGCCAGGGCAGCCTCACGTGCAATATTTGAGGTCTTAACCTCTTGAATTACAGTGCCATAAATAATATAATCAATAAGTTCTTTGTCCACTTTGGTTTTACGCAAGAGGCTCCTAGAAAAACGAACAATTAATAAAATAATTAGAATTGGATCCGACTCTATCTTAAGGAATTTCAGACGTTTTTTTACTTACAAGAGGGAATGACGAGCCAATTCATGTGGCATTAATTTGGAATAGTTGGTGCCAGACATCAAGAAAGGGCTACGAACACCCTCAACGAGTACAATATTTTTGCGGCCATTTGTATTCGTGGATGATGATGGTGTGGTGGTCATGGAACGGGCAGCACCTATGAAAAAAATATATTTATTAACTAAATACAAAAACAAATTATAATATTTTTACAATATACTATTATATGGAAAGGGAACTGAGAAGTTGTTGCCGTTTTGGCCAGTTCGGAACCAAAACAAACGAAAAATATATATGACCCGAGGGTTAAGCATTTCGGATAATGCCAATTATTTCGACAATTTGAGACCATTTTCATGATATTTATTTTGACGTATTCCAAGCATCGGGTTGTTTGGATAATGCGATTTTTTCCACAACACTGGAGCTTTGGTGTTGTTGGAAATGGAAAATTGACAATTATATCGACAATATGGGACCATTTTCATGATATTTGTTTTGTCGTATTCCATTTTCAGGTCGACAATCGGGTTGTTCGGTTTCTATTTTTGGTCGATTTTTTTTCAACGACAACACTGGAGCTTTGGTGTTGTTTATTGGCATCCAATTTTCAAATTCCATTTTTATTAGGTCTTTGAAAATTGTACCCTGTCATTCGGCCAATAAACTCAATTCCGATTCAATGGAGCTAGAAGTGTCTGGCTTCGCCGATAATTATTATTATTTGTTTTTATAATAATAAAATGCCGGTTTGTAAACATTCACACACACAGACACATATTTCAGTAATAAAATTAAAGAAAATCCAAATGATTTCCTTGATGAATATTACAAAAATGCCTATGGCATATGTGCATAAATTAATTTATTCTTGAAAATATTTTCTTCCATAATACCCATTTATATTGTATTCCATTATCATACATAACAAAATAGCCAATTTATCTGTTTTTTCTTCTTCTTTGTCATAGAATTTGGACTTTGACCAATCCCCCCGTCACTTGCAGCAGCAAATCAGTGATCTAAATCAAATTGTTTTACAGTTAAGTGTGTGTGTGTGCGTAACCCTTTGCTGATTATTTTTTTGCTTGCGTTTGACACAGTTTTTATTTTTGCAAAATATATTTTTTTTTTAAATTATTTAAAAAACAATTAATAAATTCAATTTCATTTCTACTTACTAATTGCCCATAATTTTTTGGCAGCATTTTGTACTGCAATTGATTTAATATTTGCCAACATGTTTGCCGATCCTATGACTTATAAATTATTATTAATAATGTTGTTTGTAGCAGCTATGGAACTCAAAGAGTAAATATATTAACAAAAAAGAAAGAAATAAAAAACAACAACTTATATATGAAAGTACAAAGATCAATGCAAAAAAAAAAACTATGTTAATACGTCAAATTTGCAAAATTTGCGATAAGGTGGCTGGATTAGTCAAGCACGTAACGTATGATTGCATTGGCACACAGCTGTTCAATGCAAAAACCAAACAATTATTCCTGAACGTAACGTAAAGTTCCCTTTACGTGAATAAAACGATACGTTTTTAATAGTTTCCATATATGCATGGGTGTGTGTGTTGGTGTCTTACAATTAACAGTTATTTTGTGAAATTTTTTGAATTGGAATTTTCTCGATTGCTCTTTTAAATAGAATGAAAAGATAGAAGACTCAATAAATATTATTACTTACTTACTTCAATGCAAAATCGAACAATTATTCCCGAATGTAACGTAAAGCTCCCTTTAAATGAAATAAACGATACGTTGTTAATAGTTTCCATATATGTATGGGTGTGTGTGTGTGTCGGTGTATTTCAATTAACAGTTATTTTGTGAAATACTTTGAAGTCGGATTTATTTCTTTTTTTCTCTGTAAATAATAATAAAATCAATTATTTTTCCTTGTGTTTAATTCTTTTTATATGTTTGTTTATTCTAAATTAACATTTATGTTGAGAAATAGTTTGAAGTCGGATTTTTGCTCGCTTAACAAAACAAATTATTTTTTCTTATGTTTATCCTTTTTATGTGTTAAATTTCTGATTTGTTGTATCAGCCATTGTACGCCCTCTTCTAAGCCATCACCGGTTTTGGCACTGCAACAACAGATATGCCAGGGTTTATCACAAATTGAGGTAAGTTCAAGAGCTGTGAGAAAAAAGTTTTGTAATTTATTTATTACTTTTATAATTTTTTTTTGTGCCACAAACCTGATGCAATATTGACACTTGACAGAGAATTATCACAATCACTTTTATTGCCATAAAACAATATCGGTATGGGGCGATTTATCAAATCCGGATGTTGCAATAGGATATCCAATTCTTCTTTGACAACAACTGCAAAGATAATAAAAAATGGAAATCAAGAAATAATAATTGCAACTAAGGTCCAAGGGAATACATAGTTTTCTTTAGACAAAAAATGCTAACGAGGGACATCGAAAAAAAAACATCCGGGAATAAAATGTCCCCGAAGGTAAAAAGTGTAACTTTTCTAGTAAAGAGAAATATTCCGAATTTATATTCACAGAAGATAATAGGCGAGTAAGGATATTTTGAAAAATTTGAGGTTATAATTACTTTTTTTGTGTAATTTTAGGTAATTTTTGTTAGGAAAGCCATTAAAGACGTGAGCCATTTTGAATTAAGTGTATAATACGACTGAAATATACTGCCTATTTATATTTTTGAAGACAATTCCTATAACCTCTATAGGGGGTCACTATAATAGACAATAGGTGAGTAAGGATATTTTTGAGGTTAGAATTACATAATTGTGTAATTTTATTGGGAAAGCCATTAAAGACGTGAGCAATTTTAAACTAAGGTATAATACAACTAACATATTCCGTTGTAGAGGTGCCTGGTCTATTTATATTTTGAAGATACTTCCTATAACCTCTATGGGGGGTATATAAATTTAGTCATAATATATAATAGGTGAGTAAGGATATTTTGAACATTTTGAGGTTAGAATTACTTATTTGTGTAATTTTATTGGGAGAGCCATTAAAGGCGTGAGCAATTTTAAACTAAGGCATAATATAACTAACATATCCCGTTCTAGAGGTGCCTGGCCTATTTATATTTTTGTAGATACTTCCTACAACCTCTATGTTATATAAATTTAGTCATTATGTTTGTAATACCTCGGAATACTCACACGCATTTAAGGTCTTTATCAACATCTGAAGGATAACAGAATATGTCTCCAGAAGTCATTGTAGGTAGGATATACTAAAAAATCTTCATCATGTTCTTAAGATTATCATTTTAAGGTCCTAGACGAGTGGGGATATTTGGGACATTTTGGGGTTATTTGGAAAATGTTCTGCAAAGATCCCGAAAATCGATTTGTTGTATTCCACATTGTAGCCACTTTTGTTTGAATATGCTACTGAAACATTTAAGATGCCCAAAATCAGACATTCCAATAATCTCTTCTTTGTACACCCAGACCTGTTGTGCCAATATACAGCCACTTCCAAATTAGCGAACTTAAATTTTTTCTTTTCAAAAAATATTTTTTCAAGTCTTCTCAAGGCGCGGTTTTTTTAAGAATATTTTTTCGAGTTTTCTCAAGGCGTCGATTTTTAAAGAATATTTTTTTCAAATCTTCTCAAGGCGTGGATTTTTTAAAGAATATTTTTCAAGGACCTCCGTAAGGCGTTTATTTTTTAAGGATATTTTCATGGATCTCCGAAAGGTGCGGATTTTTTAAACAATATTTTTCAAGAACTTCCGTAAGGCCTCATTTTTTGAAGTATATTTTTCAGGTCTTAAAAACCACAAAAATTTTTTAAAATGTTTGACAGGTCTTTCCAAGGGGGATATTTTAAAGAATATTTTTCAAAACCTCTGTAAATACCAACTTCAGAATATATTGACAAATTTCAAAAACCTGGAAATACCAAACTTCAGACTTTTTTAAATAATAATATTTTTAAATTTTTTCAAGGCGTAAAGTTTTTAACGAATATTTTTCTTAAGTATTTTCGATGCGTTGATTTTTAAAGAATATTTTTTTAAAGTCTTTTCAATGCGTGGATTTTTGAAGAATATTATTTAAGGACCTCTGTAAGGCGTGCATTTTTAAAAGGATATTTTTCAACGATCTCCGAAAGTTGCGGATTTTTTAAAGAACATTTTTTTAGGTCTTTTCAAGGCGGGTGTTATTAAAAAAATGTTTTTAAGACTTTCCAAGGCGTGGGTTATTAAAAAATGTGTTTTAAAGTCTTTTCAAGGCGTGTGTTTTTTTAAAGTCCTTTCAAGACGTGGGTTATTAGAGAATATTTTTTAAAGGCTTTTCCAGGCGAGGGTTTTAAAAATATATATTTTTAAAGTCTTTTCAAAACGTGGGTTATTAGAGAATGTTTTTTTAAAGACTTTTCAAGGCGTGGGTATTTTAAAAATATTTTCAAATGCGTGGAGCCAGAAATGCAAAATTTCAGTCACTTCGGCAGGAGATTGCAGCTAAATTTTTAGAATAACCAAAATGGGGTGGTTACTTTATAAAATTACGGATTTATTTTGACAGATTTCTGCGGAGATGTTTTTCTCCCTCCAGGAAACCTGAATAAAAATTTACCGATCTTTTACTAAAGGTGTGTGTGGAGTGTATATTATATTTTCACTTCACCTTGTAATGGATGTTTTGTTATGTTCATCAAATCGGGATTTCGAAATTAATACAACTTTTATTTAAGTGCACGTATTTTTAATTGGTTTGTTGATTGTATACCCCATTCTCTCAATCTCCCTATTAATTATCTATTCAAAGGTTGTCGTCTCGCCAAACTTCTATTCACGTGGAACTTTGTTTGGTTGGTGTTGTTGCTATTTTTCTTCAATATATCTAAATGCAATACAAACCAAGTTACCTACTACAGATATGCACAACACTTGGTTGTGAATGTGACCAGGGTTTCGAATTTGCATTCCTACCGAATATGCAAATTTGTTCATGTATTTTACACACATTCAATTGAGTGTGACGTAAATACATACACCAGAATACAAACATACACACACATCACAATGATTCGACAGAATTCAATAGAATTTTTTTATTACTTTTTTTGGAGGTCAAAGGAAACTTTTTTTGTTTTTATTTTAAAACCATTGTTTTTGGCTTATCAACTTACCCATACGCATTTTATCACTAGCATCTATTACATATATTAAACCTTGGCAATTTTTAAACTGATGCTGCCATAAATTTCTATATTTCCAAGCACCGGACATATCAATAACAGAAAATTGAACTCCTTGACCTTAGGTAGACATATAAAAGAAAAGAAAACAGAACTCATTAATTTTTTTGCGTTGCTGAATTTGTTTTGTAAACACTTTGATTTTTGTTTGTTTTTATATTTTTATTTTAATATTAATATTTTGTTTTAATAATAATATTTAATATTTACTATAAAATTCTTCATGTGTAAATCCCACAGTTGGTATGGAAATATATGAATTGCTATCATTTCGCCTTTTAAATTGTTGTATTATACTCGATTTGCCACTGTTGTTTAGACCGACCACCAATACCGTCATTTTTTCTTTATTAATTTTAATAAGACTTAGAAAATTATTAAACACTCCCATTTTTTGGGTTTTTTGATTTTCAATAATAATAATATTATTTTTTTTATTATGTCCTTAACTATTGAACTTCGGTGTCTATACTTTCAATATTTATTACGATTTTTTCACATTTGTTTTGCTTTATACTATCCTTAGGCAAGGAGTTGCTATAGTAACCACCTATCATTACACCATTTAACAAAAAGTGTGGACAAAATTTAAAATTCACTAAGAAAGGACCTAAATTGAAACATCTATTTCATCGAAATTTCCAATCCCACTTGAAACTGTACTCTTGTGGCTGCAATTTAGTTGAAAAGTGAGATTAATTCCATATTACAGCCACTTCGATGGGAAAAAAGTGACCAGAACCCCTAAAAACACAAAAAAGCAGGATCGCTATATTGAGGTTATGTCACAATTAGACCTATATAGAAAAATGTCTCCAGAGATGTTTTTTTTATCGTCCAATAACTCGAAATACAAACCTAACAGCCACATTGGTGGTCAAAAACTTCAAAATACCGAGAATGAGTTTTCTGATTTCTGATATTTGGGGTGATACTTTTATTAGGGTTATGTCATAATTAGTTCTATATTGAAAAATTTCTCCAGATATGTTTTTATATTGTCCAATAACCCGTATTGTTAACTTACACCTACTTTGGCGATTGAATATTTGAATATTTTTTCAGGACTTTTCAGGCGTGGATTTAAAAAAAATTTCAAGGCGTGAATTTTTTAAAAAATATTTTTCCAGGCGTAAATTTTTTAAAAAATATTTTTCAAGGCGTGAGTTTTTTAGAAATAATTTTCCAGGCGTGAATTTTTTAAAAAATATTTTTTTCAGGGCGTGAATTTTTTAAAAATATTTTTTTCAGGGCGTGGATTTAAAAAAAAAAAAAAAAAATTCAAGGTGAGGATTTTTAAAAAAATATTTTTCAAGGTTTGGAATTTTAAAAAAATATTTTTTTCAAGGCGTGAATTTTAAAAAAATATTTTTTCAAGACGTGAATTACTCAAAAAATATTATTTCAAGGCGTGGATTTTTCAAAAACAAAAAAAAAAAATTCAAGGCGTGGATTTTTGAAAAAAAAAAATTTTCAAGGCGTGGATTTTTCAAAAATATATTTTTTCAAGGCGTAGATTTTTCAAAAAATATTTTTTCAAGGCGTGGATTTTTCAAAAAATTATTTTATCAAGGCGTGGATTTTTCAAAAATATATTTTATCAAGGCGTGGATTTTTCAAAAATATATTTTTTCAAGATTTGGATTTTTCAAAAAATATTTTTTCAAGGCGTGGATTTTTCAAAAAAATATTTTTTCAAGGCGTAGATTTTTCAAAAAAAAAAAAATGTTCAAGGCGTGGATTTTTAAAAAAATATTTTTTCAAGGCGTGGATTTTTATAAATTTTTTTTCAAGTCTAGAAAAGTTTTCTATTACGAAAGGAATTCCAAATTAAAACAACTTCGCTGGGGAAGTCCTTTATATAAAAATTTTCCTCCAGAGAACCCTGAATACCAAATTACAGCTACTTCAAAAATGGAGCGGAACCTTAATATTTAGACTGGATCCAAATTCCGAATAAATTTCAAAAAATGTCAGCATAGAAAATTTTATAACTCCATGAAACCTGTATGCCAAATTCGGCTAACAACCTTCAAAATACTAAAAAACGGTGGGTCCTTTAAATGAGGATTTTCTTCTATATCGAAATGTTTCTCCAGAGAATTCGGAATACCGAATTACAGCCACTTCGATACCAAAAATGAAGCGGATCCTTTATTATATTGGGGCTATGTCCAAATTCCAACATACGTAACAAATTTTCTGCAAAGAAATTGTTCTCCAGGAAACCTGTATGCCAAATAACAGGTAATTCGATGGGGTGAAAATACCGAAAATTTATTTTACCCAATGAAGCCCTTAAATATGAAAAGATTTCCTATTTAAACAAATATGTGTCAAAAATCGGTATTGAGGTTAAAAGGTCACGGTCTTTTTAATTTTAGCATGGACAGGCATGCTCAAATAGTCATTGGAACACCAACTAGTTATGGAATGTTCTTCGCGAGTCGAATACTCCAAGGCATGCGGAAATAGGTCTGAACTATACGAATTATCCTTATCTACATCTTCTGTAGGTCTAAGAAAAAATTTTTTTTTAAATGTAAACCTTCTGTAGATCGATGAAAAATTATTTAAAAAATCTACGCCTTATGTAAGTCCACAAAAAATTATTTAAAAAATCTACACCTCTTTGGATTCCTCCTCCTTAATGGGATTAGCACTTGAGGTCATATAACTCCTAACAACATTGATCTTCACATTGGCAAAACCAGTGTCCTCTTAAATTCTGGCAACATAGCCTGGCCATTATTAAGCGGTAATACGAGACAATAATGGCTATAGGCCTGCATTAAATTCTACGAATAACTTCGTACAAAAATATGTACTAAGTCGTGTTAGAAAAGGGCAAGGCATTTCTCCACTTGTTTTTTTTACTTTATCTTCTGCATATACCTAAACATGGACCAATATTGAATAATTGGTAAAAATATTTTCAACTGAAAATTTGTTTGTCCTAAATTCAAAAAAAAAAAAAAAAATAATAATAAATAATAATAATAAGTCAAGAAGAAGAACTGCACCATGAATATATATTTTTACACTTTTCCCCCACTGTGCTTAAATAATCAACTGAAACGCTACGAGTTAAATAATTCGCGATAATTATTATCTTTTCTTTTCGTTTTGATTTTAATTTTGTTTTACTTCCCTTTGAAATTTAGAATTGAACACGCCACAGATAATTTTTCATATTTTTTATCAGAAGTATTCTGAGACTGAAACATAAGTCCCATTGGCCCAGCATGCACGTGCTCGTCTACTTCCACTGTTCTTATAATTCAGCGGAAAATATAGTAATGCTAAAAAACCCAAGGTCTAACAACAACAACTACTGAAAGTAAAAACATTTTATAATACAATGTAAAATTGAAAAAAAAAATAAAAATCGCACGAAACAATGTAACAACAATGCCAACAAATGCATTTGACCCACTCCGCTGGTTGGTATTATCTACACAAGTTTTATTTGGTTTTTGAAAGTTTGTGTTTATTTACTTTGTGTTTATTACTTTGTGTTTATTTACCTGATGCAATTACAATTCAAAATAATGATAGGTACATACATACGGTAATTGAAATTTGAAACTCAAGATAAGCTACAATATAGCCAGCCGCATTATCGTCAAGTCATTATCAAGTTTCGTCATTTTTTTTTTATTTTTGTGTTTTTTATTCTTGAGCATTTGGGTATTTCAAATCAATTTTTTTTTTCATTTGTTTGTTTGCTTGCTTTCTTGTTTTATGACCTCTTGATCAAAAACCAGAAAAAACTGGCTATGTGTTGTAGATAGACGGATGGATGACTGGCCAAAAAAACAATATGTTCAAGTGAGAGTAATAAAATAAATAAAACATTCGTTTTTTTTTCATTGCATATTAATTAACTTTATTCCAGTATTTTTGTATATATTTTTTCATTTATTTGTATAGTAGGTATATGAATGTATTTGTGTATTTCCCTTATTTCTTTTACCTCATCCATTTATTTTATATATGCACATATATTTTGTATGCATACGCAACAAACAGAATCGAATATTAGGTATAGATATAAATTTTCATGTAACAATTTTGTCTGCCGTTCGCTTTCTAATTAAGAACATTAATATTATTCTTGGCATTCAAATAGTTGGCATGTGGCGGGGTAGCAGTAGCGTTAGCGTCATGGGCAGCAGCTTTCAATGGCATGTCTAACATTTTCCATACTTTTTTCATATCATTCACCAGTTGATTCATCATATCGACATTATGGAATGGTGTGGGGGCCAAACGCAACTTTTCCTCACCCCGGGCGACAGTTGGATAGTTAATAGCTTGGATATAATGGCCAAATTCAAACATTAGCAGGTCGGAAATTTTCGAACTCTTCAAGGGATCACCAATACGTATGGGGATGATGTGACTGGGGGTGGGCTCAACGGGAAAACCTTGAAATAAAGGACAATAACAAGACGGACACTCAATTAGAATATTAGCATAATAATAAAAACAAACAAACGAACAATTATTGCATGATTGTTCGTGTTGCATGCAAAGACCCCATTTGGTAATTACCTTCAGACCGTAATAGGTTACGTAAATAGTTGACGTTGCTGCGATGCAAAGCTCTCAATTGTTGACCTTCTTCAGATGCCAAAATGTCAATGGATTGAAGGGCACCACTGCACACGGTGGGCGGCAGAGAGGTGGTAAAAATAAAACCAGCCGCATAGGAACGTATCATATCCACCAAATTATGAGTACTGGCAATATAACCTCCAATATTGCCAAATGCCTTACCCAATGTACCCGAAATAATGTCCATTTTATCCATAACACCATCCCGTTCACCAATACCAGCACCATGTTCACCATACAAACCCACCGCATGCACCTCATCCACAAACGTGATGGCACCATATTCATGTGCCACATCACACAACTCTTCCAGCGGGCAGATATCACCAGTCATCGAATGTACCGTCTCAAAGGCTACAATTTTGGGCATTTTCTTGTCGAATTTACACAGCATACTCTCCAAATGATCCACATCGTTGTGCCGGAAAATGTGCTTGGGCACTCCACTATTTCGTATACCCTGTATCATAGAGGCATGATTACCAGCATCGGAAAATATATGACAGCCGGGTAAGAGTTTGGCCAAGGTGTAGAGGGTCGAATCATTTGCCACGTAACAGGAGGTAAACAGCAGGGCGGCCTCTTTGTCATGTAGTTTGGCCAAACGTGACTCCAGCATTTCATGGTACATTGAATTACCCGATATATTACGGGTACCACCGGCTCCTGAGCCATGACACTCCAATGCCTCGGCCACGGCCTTTTTAACTTTAGCATGGGCAGACATACCCAAATAGTCATTGGAACACCACACCGTAATGGGACGTTCCTCGCGCGTCGAATACTCCAAGGCATGGGGAAATAGGCCTGAACCAGCCAAGCGATTAACCTTCTTAAAGACACGATACGAATGATCCTGTTTCTTCTTCATGATTTGTTCTTGGAAAAAGTTGTCATAGGCAAATTGATCGGATTTCATTTTTTGAGCACTGGAAGCCATTGGTGGTGGTTGGCTACGATTAACCACCTTGGGTGGTTCAACCAACACCTCCTTGGGTTTGGGTTGCTCCTCCTCCTTAATGGGATTGGCACTTGAGGTCACATAACTCCTAACAGCATTGACCTTCACATTGGCAATACCCGTGTCCTCATTCGAAGCTGGCAATATAGCCTGGCCATTATTGAGCAATACGGGACAATAACGGCTATAGGCTTGCATCAAATTCTCCGAATAACTTCGTACAAAATTTGTACTAAGTCGTGTTAGAAAAGGGCAAGGCATGTTTTCCTTTTGGGGTTTACTTTATCTCTTCTGTATCTTAGCTGCTGCTGCTGCAATCAAAACAACTTTCCAATTTGATTTTAAAAGAATGGTTGGTATGTCTGTTGAATTGCGTAATGACAGCAGACACCGAAAGGGGGACGACAGGCAGGCACACTGTTTGTGTGTGTGTTGATGTTTTGTAAATTTTCGCTTTCAGATAGTTTTTGCTGCTGCTGTTGTGTTTTGGGCTGACGTTTTGTTTTTCTCCCAATAAGAAACTGCTGCTGCTGCTGCTTGCTATCCAACCGAATGTCCAAAAGTAACTGAAACGTTTACAAAAACACTTGACACATGATAATAAATAGTCGGTCGACACCAATACCACCAACACTTTCCACCTTGTGTCGTGTTATCATAGGGTTAACGAGGTCGTTGAGGGGATGTAGGGTTGTTTAAGGCGATAATGGTACAGTTATCGATAATACAGGCAATCGTGAAGATTTTCACTTTTAAACTGAACATTTTTTTTAAAGTTTTTGTATTATTTAATACAAAATGTAATTGGATTTGGACTCTACTTCGTTTTAGTCCTTAAAATATCAACGTATTTTGGTAATTATATTTATGTACTATTACTTTGGACTGTCAGATTTTTTATCGATTATTGATTGTCCAACAACCATGAATATTTTCATTGTTGCCTAATGCGGTGTACACACTAGCATTTTTGAATGGCACTCTTGCCCAAATTTTGCTTGTTTGATAGTGTGGCCTCACATGTTTGTCATTCATCAGGCAACCACAAAAATATTTATGGTTGTTGGACAGTCAGTAATCGATAAAAAAGCTGACAGTCAAAAATGATAGTGTGTACACCGCTTAAAAGTACGTTTAGATTTGCGAAATCCACTTGATCTCAAATGTCAATTCCATGGCGTATACGTCAAATATAATCCACTGGATTAACGTGACGGATACGCAATAGAATTGACAATTCTATTGAGATCGAGTGGATTTAGTAGTCTAATGAATGATGGACATGAACGGCCACACATCCAAAACAAGCTAAATTTAAGGCCGAATTAGTTATGACATAAAAATAAAGCCATATCAATCAGCTGATCGAACCAAACCTATAGAAATCAAGATATTCAATTATTTTATTTATAAATAATATAAAGTATTCATTTAATAGTGACATAGCAGTCGAATACATTAATTTCCATAGGTTTGGTTAGATCAGCTGATTGATATGGCAATGTCATTACCATGGCCCAATAATACGGTCCATGGCATAACTATATAAGGTAGTCTCATTTGAAAAATTGATAATGGTAACCCTTCTTAATATGGAATTCATATATCAATTTCAAATAAAATGAAAAAAAAAATCCATAAAATGTTATGCATGGCGATTGGCAAATTTTCGACAAATTAAAACAATATTTTTTTAAACCTCCACATTGTTCTCAAGATTTAACTAAGAAAGTTGCAATTTATATTTTCTAGGTTTTATAGGCAGGGATGTTAAAAATATAAAAAAATATACATGATTCAAAAAGTTTTGCCACTGAACAAAAGATTTCCGTACATTTCAAATGAAGATATGTTCGTTTAAATTTTGAAAGCTGAATGTTGTCAAAAGCAAATTTATGAAAAAATTGGAGACATATGACTGCATGAGACTACCTTGTATAGTTATGTCACGAATAAGGTCGTACGATAAGACCTAATGATTTCACCCGAGCTTTCAATCTTGACTCAATCGAATGAAAATGTAAACAAAAAATTGTGAGTTTTTAATCCAAAATTGCCGATAACGATTGCTTCTTACACGACCTGTTCATTGGGTCATGGTCATTACTAATTCTATCTTAAGACCCATTAAACAGGTTTTGTAAGAAGCAATCGTTATAGGCAATTTTGGTTGAAAATTCGTCTACCCAGGTAGCAATTAAAATCGGATAACAGTTGTTTTTTCTCAAGTCTAATGTCAAACATTTCGACTTTGTTTACGTTTTCATAATGGAAGTCAATTTACAATAATGCATTTTGACAGCAAACTTGAGTGGCGCAGATATCCAGCTGGTCTCCCTGGATGGCTTGAGAAAAAAACAGCGGCTTTCCGATTTCGATTGCTTCCTGGGTGACCTTATTGAGAGATCTTCACCTTATTTATAGGCCATGACCATATTTGAACCAAACTGTCATTCAAAATTGATAGTGTGTACAATGCGTATGGAAATGCAAAAATTTACAGTTATCGATAATCGTCGTTGACTAGTTATAGAATTTCACTATTGTAGTTATTGTTATTCTGTATAAAGCGCGTTCAGATTACACCTTCTAAATCTACTTGATTTTAAATCGAGTTTTTTATGTAAAACAGTGTTGTATTTGAAATGAGTTTTCACAGGAATGCTTTTATCCAAAATTTGTGTTAAGAAAAACATCTCAATTTCTAATATTTTGAAAAAATAGCGTTTTTATTTGTGTGTATGTGATACTTTAATTTATTTTTAATAATAATCATAATAAAAAAACAATACAATTACAATACACAGTCAGTTACAGATAAAAACTATATAGACCTCATATAAGAAAATACATGAATTTTGATTTCGTTTTTAAAGAGATTTGACTGGACAAGAATTCGAGAGAGAGAGAGATAAGTCAATGGATAAATAAATATTTATATTTCATAGTTTTATATAGATTAGATATTATATAGACAAAAGCTTTTTGTTAAAAAATTAAATACAAAAAAAAAAAAACGAATTATGAGTAAATTGTACTTTCAATCCATTCATCCATGGTAAATGTGGCCGTTTCGGTATTTTCCGTATCTTTGTCCTTGAAAATGTCTGTGGAAAAAAAGGGAAAAATTTTTAAATTTCTCTGTAATTTTTAAATTTGGAATGTTAATAAATCTTACCAATAAATGTCTTAATCTTAACGGCACACATTAAAAAGTCATCAAATGCAATTTTACCATCCCGTGAACCATAACGATGTACCAGGGCATTCAGAATGCGATTATTCAAATGATAACCAGCTGAGTTAAGGGCTTGACGCAACTGGAAACCATCAATGCGTCCCGTCTGATGGACATCATAGATTTTGAAGACAGCCTTCCATTTGGCAATATCGGTGAGGAGGGCTTCAAATTCTTCCAAACCTAATTTACCCGATTTGTCTACATCTAACATGGCCACCATGGAACGGCAAATGTCCTTGGAGAAGCCTTCGGGTGTGGCAGTCATTACTGGAAAATAGAAGAAGGGAATGCAAAAAATAAATTATTAATAAGAAAAGTGTTTGACAAGCAAGCTGTCAAAAAAAGAGTTGTAGAGTTGTTGTATAATTTATGTTGCATATTTTTAGGCTTTATGAAAGAAACAAATCACCGGGGCGCACATAAGCTTGCTTTGTAAAAATAATGTAAGGAAAAATAATTTCATGACCATTCACCATGTTTAATTTAAAAATGTTTTTTTATATAAAAATTATATAGTAAATTTGTTTTTGTTTTTTTTTTTCTATACAATAGTACGTAGTAATTGCTCACCCTGGCTGTTGTAGTCATCTGTGCGATTAGGGTCATACAGGCGTTGCGTCGTATTGTTCTGATCATCTAATCCAAACATTTCTTGTACACTATTATCTTTATTACAAAGGCCACACAACAATGAGACGATGCTATTCAAAATATTGCCCACATCGAGTTCATTGTTGTTGTTAGTATTTGGCACATTACCATTTTCCTGGGCCATTAACGGTGCTAAGTTTTCTTTGACATTTGTGGCTGTCTCTAGATTTGTCGTGGTTATTGGTAATTCTGCATATGGATTTTTTTTCAAAATTTTTGTTTTTGTTTTTTTTCAAATGTGTGTTTTTTGTTTTTGTTGGATTTTTTTGTTTGTTTGGAATGTATGACAAGTGGTGAGAGAAAAAACAAAAAAAAAAATGTGGAACAGGTTTTGATTATCTAATTTTTTATAATTAAGAGGCTACTATCACGAAACAGAACAAAAAAATTAATTAATTAAAAAAACAAAATATTTTTTTTTTTGGTATACAAAAAATAACAGAAAAAACCCAAATCAAAACACATGCAAAACTTAGATTAGTTACCAAGCCATAACTACGGTGCAGATGCTTCAGATTGTTTTTTTATGATTAAAATAAAATTAAATACTCATGAAATTTCTACAAATAATGAAAGTCGTCTACAAATGTATGAGAGAGAGAGATAGAGAGTTATGAGAACATAATTTTGTGCAGAACCCAGGAAATCAACTTATATTTTTAATATACATAATTGTTTTTTTTGAATTGTTTTTTTAACAAATAGTTGTTGTTATTTGTCTTTTTTTTTCAAAACTCAATTCGGTTATTAGAAATAAATAAACAGTAACGTTTTCTGTTTCTTTAAATAACAACTTTTCCTTTCTTTTTTCGAAACTTACCATCCCTTAGGGAATGATCCAAAATGCGTTTCAATTCCATCCAATCAACTTCCATATCAGCACCAGCCACACATTTAAAGAGACGGGCCAAGGCCTCCTTTTGGGGATCCACGGGGGGTGCCACGGGTGAAGGCATATTGGGGTACAACTAATTTAAGTAAAAGTTAGGGGTTATATATAAATTAAAAATAATTAAATAACTAAAAATACAAAATTTCCAACTACAAAAACTACTTCCCAAAAATTAAAAAAGTAAATTAGAAAACCAAAAAACAAAAGCCCCCATTTTTTGTAATTGCTTAGCAAATCCTTGGTACTTACTCCGCCAGGTCTATTGTCATTATCTTCCGAATCGCCATAGCCCACATGATCATCATTTTCTCTAAAAAAGGGTTTTATATTTTATTAATTTTTTGTAACATACTACATTAACAAATAATTGGACGGCACAAAAAATCAACATTTTTTTAAATTATTTTCAAAAAATATTTACAATAACAACAAAAACTTTGCATGCACTTATTTCTAAATATTTTTTGTTGGGGTTATTCTTTTTTTTTGCTTAAGATACATACTCCATATTGTTTTGGGTTTCAGAGAAGACACGTATAATAAATTCACCCTCCTCATTGGGATCGAATGTCGAGGGTACAATCAAATAATGGCCGGGTGGCAATTTGAAACGGGCGGTAACCTAGGGAAGAAAAGAATAATATAAAAAATAAGAAAAATAAATTATCGAACAGAATTTGGCCAGCTAGGCTTCGAACACGACTATAAAAGCAATAATAATAATATGAAAATAAAAGTCCAGAATCGTAACAAGGAGCCATCTCGGGTACCACATGAAACAAGGAGGTTCTCTTGACTTTATAGCGCTTCGCAATGCAGAAATAATAACAAAATAATGCTCTACGCATCGCAACTGAATGTGTACTTAGGACTCGATCATTTGCATCAGGAGACAAGGATACTATTAGTGCAGCAACATAATGTTTGCCCACCAGAAGCATAACAAGGTGCTCAAATCCATCTAGGGCACCAAATGAGGACAAGGACACAAGGAGGTTCTCTTGACTACATACAAAGCTGTAAGTAGATTAGACTTCGTTCATTAGCGCTTCGCAATGGAGAATGCTTTAAGTCACACAAAATAATGCTGCCCTACGCACCGCAATCGGAAGTGTCCAGATTGTTCCGAGTGTGGATCATCTGGATCAGGAGGCAAGAATACTATTAGTGCAGCAACATAATGTGTTGCTCACCAGGCAATTCATGCTGGGATGTCATCTGCCCACGCATCCCAACCACCTCATAGTGCTTCAGGATCCATTCCCTCGACACATACGCGATGCAGCAACGACATCCAGGAAGTCATTTCATCTGAGATCGATCGATTGTCACCAGCTTTATCGCTGAGCAGCAAGCTGTCAATGAGCATGAACATGAACTAAATCGTGCCATAACTGTCAACCTGCAGTGGTAGCCGAAGCTGAGAAGATCCTGCCCCCGAAGAATCAGAACTATCTTAGCGCAGCTTCGGTCTGGATGACCATTCATCCTAAATGCGTATCAAGTGAGAGTCGCCGGGATCGAAGACATTTGTCCCAATTGCAAGCTGGGGTCGCATGATACAGGTCATTTATTTGCATGTTCAGTTCGGCCCATGGATCTTCGTCTGGATGACCATTCATCCTAAATGCGTATCAAGTGAGAGTCGTCGGGATCGAAGACATTTGTCCCAATTGCAAGCTGGGGTCGCATGATACAGGTCATTTATTTGCATGTTCAGTTCGGCCCATGGATCTTCGTCCCATTAATCTGAGGCTGAGACCAGTAGAAGTGGCGAATTTTCTGCAGTGCAGCAACATAATGTGTTGCTCACCAGACAGTTGCTTTTGGCATGCCATCTGCCCACGCATCCCAACCACCACTTAGTGGTTCAGGATTCATCCCCTCGACATATACGGAAGGACATCAAGCGATACAGCGACGACATCCAGGAAGTCATTCCATCGACCGATTGTCACTAGCTGCATTGCTGAGAACTGTTCACACTCAGAGAGTCCAGCAAGCTGTCAATGAGCATAAATCGAATCATGTCCTTAACTATTAACCTCCAGCGGTAGCCGAAGCTGAGAAGATACTGCCCCGAAGAACCAGAACTATCTTAGCGTATCCCAACCACCACATAGTGGTTCAGGACTCGCCACATCCGGAAGGACATCAAGTGATACAGCAATATAATTTAGGAAGTCATTCCATCTGACATTGACCTATTGCCACTAGATGCATCGCTGAGAATTGTTCACATTCAGAGAGTCCAGCAAGCTGTCAATGATTGTTTCATGCTCTTTGACAGCTTGCGTGTCCTTAACCCTTTCAGTGTTTTCGTCCAATATATTCAACATTTAAAAATACTCTCTATCTTTGCGATTTTTAGGTTATCCTATGTACCGTTACTACTGATGTTTTTGTTTTTGCTGAAAGACAGACGAAACTGACCGAGGGTTAAAATGACAATGGCTATTTTTTCTAAAATATGCCCCTTTATATGATTTTAAATACAAAATTTTGGATTTTTATTCCGACAAATTTTTTTGACACTGAAAGGGTTAACTACTAACTTCCAGCGGTAGCCAAAGCTGTGAAGATTCCGCTCCGAAGAACTATCTTAGCGAAGCTTCGGTCAGGATGGTCAGTCATCCTAAATGCGTATCAAGCAAGAGTCGCCGGTATCAAAAGACATTTGTCTCAATTGCAGGCAGGGTCTGCATTATACAGGTCATTTATTTGCATGTCCAGTTCGGCCCATGGATCTTCGTCCCATTGATCTGCGGCGCTGAGACTAGTAGAAGTGGCGAACTTTACAACTTTCCGCATCCACCACATATACACACATCATCCACATTCAATCCTGCATCCAACATCCAATTCCACCCACCAACAAATAGTAGACACCAGTTCAAAGTAAAAAGCTAACGTCACTGAACTATTGCAGGGAAAACGAGACAAACTGTTACAACAAAAACTGTCAAAGATAAGTAACAACCTCCTAAATATAAACTCACAGAAAGTGGTAATAACTTCCAAAAACTTCAAAACTTTCCGATTTCCTTGACGGTATTTCTTTTCTCAAGTCTACTGTCAAAAATTTCGATTTTGTTTACATTTTCATAATGGAAGCTGGTCTCCCTGAATGGCCTTATTAAAAGCCCTGTCCTATACAATGTCACGTGTGAACATCCTTAATGATAATGTTCTTATAAAGCTACCAGGTCACACATCAATTTCATATATTATTTTTTAATTTCTCAATAAACCACTTACCTCACGTGTATTGATGAAATGTGGTGATCTTGCAACCGATGAACGATATTTGAAGAAACTCAAACCCTGAGGACGGACTTGCAAATCACGTTCATTCAAATGATAGATGGCAAAACCAATTGTCAAACATTCCATTCCCAAATTACGTTTCGAACGGCGATTCTTTTGCATTAAGGCCACAATCACGGTACATTTACCATCATCATCCTCCTCATCGGGATCTTCCAATGTTATCACATACTGGGGATTATGCCAGAAAGTCTCTAAGAAATTACGACAGCCACCAGCTGTAACACCTGGTGTCCATTCACCCTCAAACATTGACATTTCCCATTTACGTTTGCCATCGTTTTGTTGACTTTCAGTCAACGAATCGGGTGACAAATTACAAATCTCCACACGTTCAAAATAATGCAAGAAATCTTGGAATGACATCCAAAATTCACCATCACGATCAAAATTTAAACCGATTTCATGTTTTTGATCATCGGGTATGTAACGCCATTCTGGCGAACCATCACTCCATGGGCCATTCCATTCAGCCTCGTTACCCCATGGATTACGCAAACGTATCATGGGAATTTTTCCCTGACGATTTGGTGTGGCAATATCGATCATGCAAACTTTGGTTATGGAGTAGGCATGGCCACGAATCAAACCTTCAGGGGTTTCGGCTTCCAGGACATTGGGATCGGCCTCTAGCGAGCAACCCATCATGGAGTTGCGTTCGGCAGCCTTGGCCAAAATACTAAAGAGGTTTTGTGGTGCCTCCTTGAGGTCATACCATTCGGTGACACCACCGGTAAAATCTTCCATGGCTTCACAGGTTGAACCACCCTTTAAGGCTTCATAGGAACCATGTAATCTGTAAGAATAGGGATTTTATTAATTATTTTTCTTTTTTTTTCGAGGAAAATTAAATGCTCTTCTCACTTGGCATAGGCTTTTTCCAATAAGGCACTCCAGAATTCATTTCTTTCCGCTGAATGCATATACATTAATTCACCCCTGCTGGTGGGCAGACGATCATCAATTACCACATCCACCCATTTGCCATATTGCCAAAAACGGAAATGGAAAATACCAGCATAGTTTTCCTCAAAGCTTTGATCCGGTGGCACAACACGGAAGAAGAGATTCGAATCTTGTGTGAGATTTGCAGCGGCGGCCAAAAGCCAACAATCACCCAGTTCACCTTGTTGGACATCGAAACGAGAATAGCCCTCGACAAAGAATTGGGGATCGTCACAGATTTCCTAGAAAAAATAATTTTTCAAATTAATAAGAAAATTAGATAGGAAAAAATTAAATTATACTCACATGTGGCCTAAGCCATTCGATGTAACGATCTGGACGTCTTGAGAACATAAGAGATTCATCACTGGCTGGAAACAGGGGATCTTCAAACAGGGAGCCACTGTTTAAACATTGTTGCCTTATGGTATCAAAATCTTGTATATCCTGACGAGGCCTGTGCGAGTATGCCGCCGTTTCACCAAGCTTTTTGAGAGAAATGTAGGAATGTCGGAAATATATTAATAATGGGGGTATAGAATTCGATGTGTTAAAAAATAAGTGTGAAGGGTTATTGATGACATTAATTTTGTACAGGATTTTTGTTTTCTCTGTTTTTGTGCAACAAAATTTGGACGTGCAAAAATCAAAATAAACACAGATTGTAAAATTTGGATTTAAAAAAATATTAAAAAATGTAAGAACAGAATCTTAGATCCTAATTCCTAATTTTTAAGACTACAAGTTCCTTGTTGTTATATAAAATCATGCAATTCATTTGAATTAGATGCATTTCTGTGGAAGAATGCTCAAAAGAATGAAACAATGAATAAAACTTCTGGAAGAATAAATAAAATTATTTCTCATCGCAAACCTGTAGTTACAGAAAGAGTATGAAGATCCTGACATGTTCCTTCTCGAGAGACATCATGTTATCAAGAGTTTGTTACGATCCATTTGACGCGGCACTGCTCTCTAGTTCGTCTTCTAGCAGTAGATTGTAACAATATGGCGCCCAACGTGGGGAACAAACCCTCATATTTAGGAGTCTCGTGTTCTGCCGACTGAGTTAGCTGCGATCTAGTTTGCGCAGTACCGCATAAGGCAGATTCTAACAATATGGCGCCCAACGTGGGGCAAGAAACCACAAATTCAGGAGTCTCGTGTTCTGCCGACTGAGCTAGTTCGTCTTTCAATTACAGCACCACAAGTACCGCATAAGGTAGATCATAACAATATGGCGCCAACGTGGGGTACGAACCCTTGAAGTTGAGAGTCTCGTACTCTACCGACTGAGCTAGCTGCTGTATAGTTTGCGCAGTACCGCATAAGGTAGATTCTAACAATACGGCGCCCAACGTGGGGCGCGAAACCAAAAATTTAAAAGTTTCGTGGTCTGCTGCTTTTTCAATTAAAGTACCGCATAAAGTATAATTAGCTCAGTACCGCATAAGGTAGATCACAACAATTTTAGCAGTGTTGTGTTCTGCCAACTGAGCTAGCAGGGATTTCAAGCATAAGGTATATTAAGCGCAGTGCCGCAAAAACTATATCGTAACAATATGGGGCCCAACGTGGGACACAAACCCTCAAACTTAGTAGTCTCGTATTCTGCCAGCTGAGCTAGCTGGTTTTTCAATTAAAGTACCGCATAAGGTCTAGGTTGACTCTGTATCGCATAAGGTAGATCGCAATAATATGGCGCTCAACGCGGGGCACAAACCCTCGAAGTTAAGAGTCTCGTGTTCTGCCGACTGAGCTAGGTGGTGTTTCAAGTAAAGTACCGCATAAGGTAACAATATGGCGCCCAACGTGGGGCACAAAACCTCGAAGTTAAAAATACCGCATAAGGTCTACTTAGTTCAGTACCGCATAAGGTAGATCATAACAATATGGCGCCCAACGTGTGATACCTCGAAGAAAAGAGTCTCGTATTCTGCCCACTGAGCTAGCCGGGATTTAAGCATAAGGTCTATTAAGCACAGTGCCGCATATGGGGTAGATCGTAACAATATGGCGCCCAACGTGGGCTACTGTAAAGCTAGCCAGACTTTACAGTATAAAATGGATCGTTTCAAGTTTTTTCATTAAAAACTAAATTATTCACCCAGTTTATAGACTGTGTTCTTCATTTTTTAGAATCGATTGCATGGTTAGAAAAACAGATTTTCCTTCAAGGTGGCGTCTTTATTTGAAAAAAATAAATTCATTCAGTACCTCGAAAACCAAGAGACAATTACATGATTCCACTTCGAAGTTCAATCGACAGATTTCCGACTCGATTGTGTACGACGATCATGTTCTGAGTCATCGCTAAAAAGACTGCATTTCGGGTTGCAAATTAAATGTAAATGCCATCGAAGACAAAAATCGGTTGGCAAGGTTTTTAGGGCAAAAAGAAAGACACGTCAGGAGGTCTCAGAAAATCTATATCCATTTTATGAAAAAGAAAGTGCTTCTTCGTAAAGATAATTTCCCGTACCAGTGTATGATGATCAAATTTCGAATCATCGCTGAATAGTCTGGACTTCGGGATGCAAATGAAATGTAAATTCTATCGATGACAACAACCGGTTAGCAGGGTTTTAATGGCAAAAAGGAAGACACGTCATGAAGTCACCGAAAAACAAATGCATTTTAAGAGAGAGTACCTGCGTCTTCACGAAGAAAAAAATTCTCCGCAAATGAAATGTAACCCGGTCGGCAGGTTTTTGATGGCAAAAAGGAAGACACGTCACTAAGTCGCCGAAAAACAGACACATTTTACGGGAATGAACATGCTTTTTCACGAAGAAAAATGTCTCCATTTTATGGAAAGCAAAGTGCTTCTTCGCGAAGAATCAAGTTCTGAATCATCGCTGAAAAGTCGGCATTCTGGTATGCAATGAAATGTAAATCCCAGCGATGACAAAACCCGGTTGGCAGGGTTTTGATGGCAAAAAGGAAGACACGTCACGAAGTCGCCGAAAAACAGACACCTTTTAAGAGAAAGAACGTGCTTTTTCACGAAGAAAAACTGTCTCCATTTTATGGAAAGTAAAGTGCTTCTTCGTTGAAAAGTCGGCTTTCTGGGATGCCAATGAAATGTAAATCGCATCGAAGATAAACCCCGGTTTGCAGGGTTTTGATGGCAAAAAGGAAGACACGTCACGAAGTCGCCGAAAAACAGACACCTTTTAAGAGAAAGAACGTGCTTTTTCACGAAGATTATTTACCGTGTAAGTAAAATTCATGCTATGACACTATAAATGGAATACAATGATTTCCATATGTTTGATTCGATCAGCTGATTGATATGTCATAACTAATTCTACCTTTATTGCAACCTAAGGTTACACACCATCGAACTATGTAGTTTGGTATATAAAATGGAGATAAATTATTATTCTAAATTAAAATTAATTTTGGAACATTTTTTGAACATGTTCAATGGTGTGTAATCCACTTTATCCATTGGTCCTTCGACATCACATTAATATTAAAATGTCTTTTAAGACATAAACATATACAAGAAATTGAAAGGATGATATTAACTGATCCTTTACATTAACATACAATTTTTTGTCAAGACATTACATAAGAAATACAAAAAAAAAGAACACATAAATTTTGAAACAAAAAAAAAATCATATCAAAATACAAATAACATCAAATTGTAATTTAAAAAAAGACATGTATACTTTTTTTGTTTTTATAAAAATTGTTTTACATTTACAATAGTAAAAAAGAATATCTGTTAGATAGATTACATTGAAAGTGTGGCCAATAGAAACGGAAAGAAGTTATATAAAATTTAATGGACTTAAGGGAAATGTTTTGTTTTTAATTTTTAAGTTTCTTAGACGATCTATTTTCGAAACATATTCCAAATATGTAATTAATTGTATTCAATATGTCTACAATTCAAATTAACTTAATACACTCAGGTCATTCATTTAGTTCACGTGACATATATGATATGGAATTGACATTTGAGATCGAGTGGATTTAGTAGTGTAAACGCGCTATTAATCATGTTCACAAATCCAGTGCATTATATTTGACGTATAGGCTATGGATTTGACATTTGAAATTGTATGAATGTAGTACTATAAACGCGCACTTAGTTGTGTATTGTTTTACTCAATGTGAACAGCCTTTATGAACAACTTGACAACTTCTTAAAGGGGGGCTTCACACGATAACACAAAGGATGTTCACATGCCTTTTAACGCGGACAAATCAAAACAATCCCTTGGCCTTAACAAAAAACAATGAAACATTTAAACAAAAAAGTCGAAAAGTGTACAAAATTCGACGAAACAAAAAGAAAAAAATAGATCCTTTTAAAGTTTTGTTGCTACATACCAATTGTGTTCGTTTGGATACCTCAAATTTTGAATTGAATAAAAGGGGATGGTTTAAATGGTTATTATATGGGATGAAATAATAATAATAATGTAGGATATTTTAATGGGGAGATTTCAAAATAAAATATTTTTATTTGAAATTCATTTTTTTCCTTTACTTACCACTCTCATATTTTTAATGCTGGGTAAAATCCTTTTAGTTTCAGCCTCCTTTTTAATGAATATTTCATTGATAACTGAACCCATAACTTCTTTGGCAGCACCCATGGCTGCATCACCGGCGGCATTTAGGAATTCCTTGCCGGCCTGTTTGAAGAATCCCTTTATCTCATCCATTTTTTAGCTACTACTTTTATAAATATTTATTTTTTTGTGTGTGTATACAAATGTTAATTCTGTAAAAAGAAGTAGAAAAGAAAAAAATCTGATTAGAGTATTTATTTTGAAGTGCTGAGCTTATGTTTTAAATTATATTTTTTAAGCAGCCACTTGATGATAAGATTGTTTTATTAAATATTTTAAGTTTGTAAGTTGTTGTTATTATAAAAATATTAAATGTGATAAGAAGTTGGGATATTCCATTAAGTGTTGTCTACGAGGGGTCTAGTATGAAAAATTAATATAAGTTTTGCAAAATATTCTCCGTGATGAAATTTAAAAGGTGGTATTTATTTAGGAAAATAAGATCTTGATCTTGATACCCTAGTTAGGTGTGATTCACTTACATAAATAATGATTTGTCACCTATTAATGAAAGGCGAAAGATTTATTCGACAACTGAAGAGAAAGCCAGACAGAGTGGCACCTATTAATATGAGTTATGTTGCGGCAATATTTGCCCATATTGGCTTAACATGCCTGGCCTTAACTTGCGGATTTTCTTAACAAGTCCAGGCTTAGGGGCGTGGATTTTTTAAAGATTTTTCTAGAGAGGAGTAAGGCTTTTTTAGAGAATTTAATAGAGGAGGTTATGGCTTCTAGTCGTGAATTTTTTAAAGAATTTTTATAGAGAATACTAGGGCTTCTAGGCGTGGATTTTTAAACAAATTTTATAGAGTAGACATAGGTCTGTAGGCGAGGATTTTTTTAAAAAAAATTATAGAGTAGACATAGGTCTGTAGGCGTGGATTTTTTTAAGGTTTTTTATAGAGTAGACAAAGGTCTGTAGACGTCGATTTTTTTAAGGTTTTTTATAGAGTAGACGTAGGTCTGTAAGTGTACATTTTTTAAAGATTTTTTATAGCGGAGACTAAGCACTCTCGGCGTAGATTTTTTTTAAGAATTTTTATAGAGAAGACAAGGCGTGTATGAAATGTCAATTTATAAAGGAATATCAGAGTCTTGCATTTTAGAATTTTAGAATTTAAAACTTGAATTTTAGACGCCGCTCTTCTTTTATTCTTTTGCAATAAAAGAAGCCAACTTAACGTGTCAATCCTGAAGTCTTTTTATGCGTTTCCCCCTTAAGGATATGTAATAAGCGCAGGCTCAAATCGGGAGCCTAGCGATTCTTCAACATTTTGTTAAGATTTTTAATTGTTCGATTTGTAAGTCTCAGTTTTGGTTGTTACCTCCTCAATTAAAGTTCTTCTACCGTACATTTTTTTATAAACTGCGAACCGGAAATTGTCGCTGGAGGCAGAACTGAAGAATATTGTCGATGAGGAAGCCATTCGAAGTCCAATCATGGAGTTTTTGTGTATCATTTTTGCTCGTGATTGTGACGCAATGAATTGTATCTGGGTATCTGATTAGTTCTTCCTCTTCAATTGCGGTCGGTTTCGGTGATATCGCACTATACGCTACCCAATAATCCTATGGAATAAATAAATATTGTTGTTGTCCGTTTTCTATGTCTCAGGATTGGTTGTCACCTTCCCATTTAAAGTTCTTCTAGCGTAATTTTGTTTTAACAATGCACCGGAAATTGGTGCTGGAGCCAGGCCTGAAGTATATTGTCGATGAGGATGCCATTCGAAGTGTCCAATTCATGGGTTTTTTGTGGATCGATTTAACATGTGATGGTTACGCAGTCTAGGTGTCTAGGTATCTGACCAGTTCTTCGGCTTCAATTGCGGTCGGTTTTCGCCTTTTAGTCCCTGGGGCAAAAATCTGGAGAACATTGTGGTCAGATCTGGAGCATGACGATTCTCTAACAGTTCGATAACTTTTTTTGGTGTTTAATTTGTAATTTCCCCAACCAAAAGTCTCAAATTCGGTGTTAACCTCCTCATTCAATGAACAACGTTCTTTCCAACGTACGTTGAGATCTGAGAACTGAAAATGGCTTCACAAAAAGCAACTAGTTCATTCATTTAGTTGCATAGTTCTTTTTAGTTGAATAGTTCATTTGGTTCACGCCAGTGAATTCTATCAATAAACAAAAAGATCTAAATGAACGATTATATCAAAATGAACCAGGTGAACCAGAGCAAAAAGAACAGGATTAGATGAACGAAAGGACCGGACCTAGTACCGATTCTTCCTTTTGTGGAATAGTTCTTTTAACCTAGTTCGTTCCGGAACGACTCAAATCTACATCAAACTACTTACTATGGGCGTTTTTTATTTGAACGTACCCTTATGTAAAGTATTCGGAAGAAGGTCTGACTAAGAAGTGAAATGACGTAGTTCATTGCCAAATACATATCTACGCAAAAACTCGGGAATTCGGTCAATGAACAGACACATCTAGACAAACGTTTGTATCAAAATGAACCAGGGTAACGAGAGCAAAATGGACTAGATGAACGAAAAACCGAAAAAATAAACTGGTTTTATGTTAGGCAACTTGTCACCCACATTACAGAGAGTTTTTTATGATTTTGAAGTATATGATTTGCCCGTCCAGTTATAATATTTTGAAGTCCTTATGGATTTTTTTGTTCGCACGTTAATTCGAATACATTGAACTTTTATTATAATCTCACCATTAACATTGCAAATGGCGCCCGAATGAAAGTTAATTGCTTACCAATCCGTGTTAGTTGATTACTATAAGATAGAGATATGTCAGATCTCTGTCTAACATCTAATTAGTCATTAACATGGCGCCCGAATGTGTTGGATATGCAAAACACCTTGTTATTATATTTATAAGTCCTGCTATTGCATTCAACGTAATTTACGATAATTTCAGAATTATTTTCTGAAATCGTAAAATCGTATTGATATTAATATATTTGGACATTAGGGTATGATTTTTTTTTTCATTTTGTTGTTCGCAGGTGAACTGTAATACTCAGCGTGGTGTGGTCGTTGGAATACTTTGAACTATTTTTTTTTATAATTTCACCACTAGCATAGCCAAATGGCGCCCAAATGAGAGTTATTTTTTCGGAAGTGTCAGAGTGCAACAAATTATGAAGTAGGAATCTAAAATCTGTCAAATCTCTGTCTGACATCTAACTAGCCTTTGATTTTTTTTTATAATTTCGCCATTAACATAGCAAATGGCGCCCAAATGATAGTTATTTTTCGGAAGTGTCAGAATGAACAATTAAAAAAAGTAGGCATCTGATATCTGTCAAATTTCTGTCTAACGTCTATTTAGCCATTGACATCGAGAAATGGCGCCCGAATGAGAGTTAATTGCATACAAATTGTTGTTATATGATGTTTTTGGTCAGTGTCAGAATGCAATAATGCAAAATTTGTGATCTGGCATCCGCCACATCTTCTTTTGAAGGTTACGACTGACATAAAATCAGGTGGATTTAATTTTAGAAGCGTCATCGATGTGTATGGCCGGGGAACTTTTAAATTTCCCTCTTATGACTAATTTTCTACCCCAAGCAGAATAAATATTTTTTTTTCGAATTCACTACAAAAAATATCCCCATATTTATTGTGGAAACTAAATTAATGACATTTATGGCATTTTAAGTCCATGACAAAATTTAGCTATCAAATTTATTAATTCTCTTAAATCCTCCATTAAGCCAAAAAAAGTTTTAGACTTTTTTTCCGACAAAACAATTTGTAATTCCTCTGCTTTAAGACATTATTTTCTTATCTTATCTATCACCTGATTTTGACACAAAAAAAAGGAGAATAAAATGTTGTTTCAATATTGATTTTAGATTTGAATCATTTTTTTATGGAACCATATTTTTCCTATATGGATTTCTGTAACCAAAAGAAGTGAGGAAGGAAGGGGAATGACAAAATAATATCAACAAATTTGCAATTTATCTAAGAGTCTTTAAAATGAAAATAACTCTGGCTATGAATAATTGATATTTTTATAAAAAAAAACACACCAAACCAACAACACGAAATAACCAAGTGATTGGATATTAAATTTCAGAATTCTGCTCACAGATCCCCTATGTGTGCGCTAAACTGTTTGCAAGCGCAACGTATGGACCTCAAGAATGCGTCATTGATTTGTTTTCGTTTTTAATTCTCATAAAATATTTTTTGTGTGATTTTTTTTGCAATTATTTTAACCAATAACAATGCAATAGATTATTGGCCACGTTTTTTTCTCTATTCAAAAAAAAGTATTTGTAATGACTGCAAAAATACACGACATTACGTTAGAGAGGGGACGTTCGGAACGCCGGTGCAATTTTAATAATTGCGCCAAACTAGTTTGTTGTTATTGTTGTTGCTGTTTTTATTGTCCACTTCTTGATATTATCATTTGTGTTATTGAGATAGGTGGCTCCATGCATCACAATATATGTCTACTTTTTTTACTACAAAGGAAATACCTATGCATTAGTGTGGTCCGTAGTAAACAATACCAAAATTACAATTTTTGGCACATATCATTGAACAAAAAATGCCGCTAACTGAATGCTAATTAGTTGAGATGTGGTGTAAAAATATTGACAATAACATACCATGGTGTTTTTGCTTAATGGTTGGCAAACCCAAAATTTAATTTTGGCAAAAATTTGTTAAGAATATTTAACAAAACAATAATAGTAAATAAATGCAATATGAAAATCAGGCTAAAGCTTTTATTGTGATAATGTGCATTTTATTGATTTATTTAATAAATCGTGCCGAATTTATCTCGATTTGCCATATAAAATTAAATTCATTCATTATCATGATTTCAAATTTAAATACAACACTGTTTTTGTACCAAACGATGCATCATCTTTTCTAAAAGCACCAAATTGGCAACACTTTACAGGTGTCATTTGTTTAAAAGATGTCTAACAAAAGAATGACAACAGTTGGCAGCATTGAAATTAATTCCAATTAGAATTATGAACATTCTTGCCAGCTACATGGAATTAGAAATGTGTGTATACACATAAACAAATAACAGCTGACTGACTTTATATCATTTTACTAGTAGTCTAAACAGCTAGGATTTATAACCTC